GACTCCTCATGCTGATGTCTTGACAATCCATAATGGGAGTCAGACTCAGGTGAGTGTGAGCTTAAAGCTCCACCAAGTACGCCTTCGGCCTCGCTAGCCCGCCGTCGCGAGGGCGGCTACGTGAGTGGTGGTTTGCCACCAATGCCACCTCCATCCGAGTGGATAAACTCGAAGGGCCTAGTGCAGCGCTTTTGCAGCGTGCAACTATTGACGCTCATAAATTTTATAGCGTCTTTCCCTTGTGGAAAAAGCAGGGCAAAGCACTTAGTCGTGCTTTCCCAATTCCAGTCGTGCTGCGTTCTAACGAAACAGCCGACGAATATGAAGCTGAAATTCGGCGCCGTGTAATGTTGCATTTAGATGCAACGAAACAACGGTCGCAGCGTATCAGCTTCGCCATGAAGCGTGCGCATGAAATTATGGGTGGTAAGCGACCCCCAATTAATTCTCGCCACGCTTCTTCTGCTAGTCCATCCGGACCTAGCAGAAAGACGACAGCTGGTGCTGCTTCACATAAGCAGCCACCAGCCCAGGCACGTCAACGCGCAAAGCATCCACAGGCTCCCACGAGTCAAAGCTCGTTGGGTAACCCTTCCACTGGACAAGGATTTGGAGCTTTCGCTTCACAAACCGGTGGGCCACCAGCCTTCCAACAAGGAAGCGCGCGTTCCCATCCGTGTCCACCAGCACAGGTGGCGCCCGATAGGAGTGGCGATTACGCCCACCTACTCGCGGCTGCCTACCCTGCTGCTGTTCAGTCGCAGGCTGAGTCCGCTGAACTGAAGAGGCAGGTGACAGATCTCGAGAGTCAAGTTTCGCGACTGACCTCGGATCTGCGTGATGTGAGGGCGAGAGACCGTCAGGGGTATGACCGCCTTGAAGACCCGTTTGGACATCCTAGAGCGACTGGTGAGGAGAGACCCGCGTCAAGCGCGGAGTCCTCCTCGATCGCCGAGTCCTCTATCGCCTCGTTCGTGTACGGGGAGCCTCTCGGCTTCCTCGTCGCCTGATCGGCCGCGACGCTCGACTCACAGTCGGCGTCACCATCGGTCTCGTTAGACCGATGTGGATATGTGATCTCTTCTGGATCAACATACCGTTTCAGACGACCCACGTAATATACGGGGTGCGTCTTCATATACGGTGGGAGAGTGAGCCGATAATTTAGGTCTCCAACCTCTTCGACCACTGTAAAGGGCCCAATGAATCGGGGCAATAGCTTAGTAGTACCACCAGGTAGTACAGAAATTGCATGTTAAGGTAGAGTAGCAGTACTTAATAGCACTTTGCCCCCCACACTAAAGTGTTCATTGTTTTTGCGACCATGCTGGTCTGCATATTGTTTTTGCTTGTCCTGTGCGCTTGCCATCGCGTCACGGACTTTACGTGTGATGGCTAAACGCTCATCCACAAAGCGCTGAGCTTCGCTCACGCTTTTAGCATCCAGCTCGCCTATGACGCCTCCAATAGGTCGTTCATGGGTCGACGCTGTTGACAACACTATAGTATCATCATCAAGGAGCACTGGCATTTCTTGCCGTGCCTCCTTTGTGACACCTATAGGTGTCGTGAACACTGCTAAACTAGCATTGTCACTAGGGAAACCTTGTCCCTCTTTGGCATTCGAACCGAGCGAAGTGAGGGGCCCTCCCCCACTAAGACTCGGGCTGCGTACAAACGAGACTGGCGTTCGAGGATGACGCAGTCCGTTAATGTAAAACGGTGTTTCACCCGTACTGGCGTGAACACTGTTATTAATAGAGATCTCCACGAATGGCAATTGCTTGCTCCATTCTTTGGGATTCGCTACTGTACGCAACACATCCGGCCACAACTCGATTGGCCCGTTCTGTTTGGCCATCGGTCTGGGGATGATCGGATGTTGACATGCGGAGCTTGTTTCCCAGCAGCTCAAACACATGTTGCCAAAAACCTGACGTAAAAAGTGGATCCCGTTCCGATACTATGTACTCGGGAATCCCGTGTAGTCGGTACACAATATCCAGAAACAAGAGGGCAGCCTCTTTTCCTGAGATCCTGGTGCTACATGGTGCCAAATGCACCATCTTTCTCTGTCTGTCTACAAAGACGACGAGCCCCGTCCTGCCTTTATGGTCCGGCGGTAAGCCAAACATGAAGTACAAACTGACCGACTTCCAACATTCAGTTGGAATCGGCAGTGGCTTCAGTGGCGCACTGTTCGAAGGTGCAGGCTTTATACGCTGACACTCTTCGCAAGAGCGAATATAGTTGGCCACCCACCGATATAGGTGGGGTAAACAAAACTCGTAAGAATGTCTTTTCACGGCCCAGATGCCCACTGGACGGGTGCCTCATATGATGGGGACATATGTACCATCAATGCGCTTTGCTCATCGCCACTTTGGGGTGATGGCAGTGGTGTAGTCTCATTGTAGTCTACAATGAGAGATGGATCTTCATCCACATTATAGTGAGATGGAAGATTCACCTCAGTGCCTAACGCACTTTGCGACGGCTGCGATAAATCGCGGCGCGTGCACTTAGTGCTGGACTGGATGGGTGCCTTTGCAGGCGACCCATCAGCCTTACCACGTTTCGGTGGCATGAGAATTGAGTAGACTAAAGCGGCGCGTGTATAACGGCTCGCAAGTCTCTCTGTCTCTTAGGCGATGTTTTACAAAATGTAAACATCGTTCTAAAACGGGGGATGGTGTAACAGGGTATCTAGTTACACGTAAACATTAAATAATATACTTAATGTTTGGTCTAAAAGTATCCATGATTACTTTTGACCTGTCACTTGGGTGCGATACACAAACGTGATCCACCCTCGTGAATGTGATATCCATTTATGGATTCACATGGGAAGGGATGACGCTAGTTGAAGCTAGGCATCGCGACGTCTCAGAAAGATGTCAGTTGCGATCTTAAATCTAGATTTAAGTTCATGCGACAGGATACGCTTCTAAAGAGTCGCGTATCCGATCTATATACATATATAGCCAATCAGTAGTTAAGTATATATTTAATCATAATCATTAAATATAGCTCAGTCTTGAATTTGCTAAACACCGAAGCACCACGCACGAGAAGCTGAAAAGCTTCTACGTGACGTCGGTGCCTTCTTGTCTTAGAAGTTCGTTGCACTCTCGCCTAAGCAGGCGACCAACCTCCTAACTACCTCGCACGCGAAGGTAAGACGGTCTAACCGCTTCCTCGCTTGTGCATAAGGTGTGTGCTAGTAGCACGAGGCAACTTCGTAGAAGCGCCCGTCTACAACATTAAAGGGACAGGGAAAGGGTGTACGGGATCTTGCTGTAGATCGGAAAAAAAGCGCGTAGGGGACAGCTGTGGAGAAGTGCCAGGAAAATCAGGGCACCAAAAAAATATGGTCAGGGGGCAAGATAAATCGATGTCACTCTCTCAAGAGAATGACAACAACAAGGCTTTGCAGGTTCACAAGGTCGCACAAGGCCCCAGGTTCAAAGAGAGTACAAGGAACTAACAGTGCAAAGCCGGGAAAAGTCCAACGTTCCTAAGCCCGCATCCCCAAGGTCCAGGATTCCAATGCCCCAAGGCCTTAAAGGTCCAGGGCCCCGAATGTCCGATGCCCCAAGGCCCCAAGATCTAAGGCCCGACGGTGCAGAAACGGTACATGGAACACCTAAGATCATAGAAAGTACAGGTTCCAAGGAGCTAGTACTTCCTCCAAGAGTCGACACGTGGCACTCTTCTGAGAGAGGGGTAGGTTTAGGCAAGAAAAGCATATAAAGGTTAAGATAAATAAATCACTCGAATTTGCATTACACGTGGCAGCTCTAAGCGCCCCCTCCAAGCTTCTCCGTAGCCTCACCTCTTCCGGGCGGGATACCCTTTGCCCCCCCCCCCCCGACGTCAGCAGGTGTTAGACGGCTTAAGCTACGCAAGCTGAACCTCAGGATAGTTAGCCTGAGGTGTCAAGACACTTAAAACCCGCTACAGGAAGCGGTTTCCCTACGGGAAAAACAAAAGGGGTCCAAGGACCATGAAACCTTCAAATACCGAAAGGGGTACACAGTATCAAGTGCATTTTTCTCGACAAATTCGATTGAGCCAAAGAAACTTCGGGTTCGAGTGAAGTATATCTACTCGTGGGCCCCCAAGTCCCTCCATGCAAGAACCAAGTCTATAAGTCTTTTGCGTCTAACGAGGAGCAAGACCAGCCAAGTCGAAGGGTACACAAGGTGAGTCCCAAGGTTGACGCGACACGGTATCGGGGTGCCCCATCCGTAAGTCGACAGTCCGGCGCTGTGTGTGTTTGTGGTTCTCCTACAATGTTTGAGAATCCACTCCACTACAATTGCTTCCGGTACCGCAGGATCCGCACTGTCGCCCCCGACCTCGTACCGAATCAGCAGCTGGCAGTTGATCAAGAGGAGACCACCGATCTTCTGGATGAGGATGCCGTAAAAGATTTGGAGGCACACGTCTAGTAGTTCCGTGACCGCAACCTGACGGACATCAGAAACCTTCTCAACTACTTAGGTGAGGAGGTAGTCACCTACCTGCCAGACCTCGACGAAGTGATTTAGGAGCACCTGCCCACGGAGCTCGACGATACAACTGTGATGAACACGAAAGTGAGGAACTCCTCCCATTCCAGCGGAAGACGCACAAATGATGATCTAGTCGCTCGAAACCTTATGAATGCAGCAGGCGGATACCGAGGACGGCACTGCAGCGGATGAGGGACAAGCTCCAGGCGATCAGAACACGCCAGATGGTGCAGAAGGGAATTTAGAGCTATTTTACACGAGTTAACGTAGCTTGTTTGAAGGGTAAAATTAGTTTACGAAAGTTGTGGGACCGAGCGAAATATATCGGATAACAGACTATGAAGGTTTGTCATGCTTTTTTGCAGTGTAGACAGGTTATCAGTTAGGGCAGTATCATTTTTAGACAGGTTCTACGGTGGTCTTACTTCGAATCTGATAAATCAAGGCTACACTTTATGTAAACACTCTTTATAAAACTTGGTAATGTCGTCCATCCCTTCTAAGAAGCTATTCGTATTTGGTCTTGGCTACTCGGCATCCCGAGCAGCTCATGCATTCCATTCAATCGGGTACCAAGTATCTGGCACCGTTCGATCGGTCGAAGCTGCCACGCAATTATGTCAATCTAATTCCGAATTGTTTCGATTCGAGTCATCGACTACTCATCCGCAAAGTGTTTTCCTCTTTGACGGGGACACATGGAGCGCTACTAATTCATTATCACTTGAAAAAGCTCTGCAAGGGGTCACTCACGTACTAGTTTCAGTACCAACGGGGCGTTTGGAAGGTCAGGTAGATCCTGTTTTAGCCGCTTTAAGAGAACCACTCATCCGCGCCACCAAAGACTCGATCCAATGGGTCGGTTACTTATCGACCATTGGAGTTTATGGAGAGACTAATGGTGTAGAAGTTGATGAGTCGGCTCCGGTCGGTTCTTCGGTGGGTAGATCTCAGATGCGGATCAAGGCTGAAAGATTGTGGTTAGATTCGGGTCTTCCGACTCATGTGTTTCGAATCGCCGGAATCTATGGCCCTGGTCGAGGTACACTCACAAAAGTTCGAAGTGGAACGGCATCGATGATCCATATTCCAGGTCGAAAGTTCAATCGGATTCATGTCGATGATATCGTTAATATTTTACTGGCATCGGCAGCCCAGCCGAATCCAGGCGGGATCTACAACATGTGTGACGATGAACCAGCACCATCGGACGAAGTCACGGCTTATGCTTGTGAGCTGTTGGGTGTACAAGTACCTCCTCGGCAGTCGTGGGAAGAAGCGGAGAAGACTATGAGTGCCATGGCAAAAAGTTTCTATGCGGAGAGCAAGATTTGCGCCAATCGTCGGATTAAGGAAGAGCTAGGAGTGCAACTCATCTATCCGACATACCGTGAAGGTTTTCTAGCCCAAATACTCGAGGAAGACAATCTGTCTACAGCAAGTGATGTTCTGTCTTGTCTTGCTGCTAGTAAGACTCTTCCACGGTTGGTGATGCTTGTGAATATTGGATCACTGCGAGCTGAGCCGTACCTTGACCTACGTCAGATCAGCTTTCGACTGAGCCGGTCTATCGGTCAGCCTGTTGTGCCTTGTAGCTTTCGATTTTCGAATCGCGTTGACCCTAACGAACTGAATGGGCTCGAAGCCAAGACTTTTGGAATGGTGCTGACTGACCACCTTGCCACTCGTGGAGATAATGCCAGCGACGTTGTTGTGCTGCCATTGTTTTTTGGCAAGAGCAGTACGCTGACAGAATTTCTGCCAAAGACAATCAACAAAGTTTGGGCTGCAGCCACACCAACGCCCTCAATGCCACTCACTGTTCGCGTTGGCGGTTGCCTTGTTGACCAAGAGAATGCGGAAGATACTCGGGTGGCTCAGATTCTCTTGGAGCGTATTCTAGCTGTAGTGGACTTGAAGACGGTGACTGACGATGTGAACGTTCTAGTAGTGGACCATGGCACACCAAACCGAGACGTAAACGAGGCGCGTGAGCTCGTCGCCCAGGCGTTGCGTGGTCTTTTGCAGAGGTACGAGCACGTCAAACTGGTCGATACCGCGTGCATGGAGCGCCGCGAAGGTGCAGAGTACGATTTTAATGATCCACTACTGGCTCAAGCTCTTGACTATTACACCGTGAAGACAGGAATCGTTGTCTGTGCCATCATGTTCCTTTCTAACGGTCGCCATGCTGGCGAAAAAGGTGATATCGAGGAGATCATCGAGGACGTCAGAGCGAGACACCCGGGCGTGGACGTCTGTGTCACAGAGGCGCTTGGAACGCATGAGCTGCTGTCCGAGATTATGCAGGACCGCTACCGTACTGTCCTAGCCAAGAAGACCCCGGACTACACGTTGCCTACTGACAAGTAAGATGTTTATGTACCTGTTAATCGCTTTCTTGACGTCTGTGTTAGCATTGCGTTGCATGAACGTATGCTCTATACTTCTGGTGGTGCTCAACGTAGGACGCGTGTTGCAACTCGGTGCTACATGAGCTTGAATCGCACTCGGTTGGGTGCAGGCAATAATTGCTGCTTGTCTTAATATGAAGCCGATTATTAACCTCAGCTTACACGCATTGACAACAAGTCTTGCTCGAATACTGCTCACTATTTACCATCGCCGATAGTGCTTTGCGCTCGATCAAATGCAAAGTTCTTAGGCTTTTTATTATGCTATCATAATGCCATATAACTTGTCCGAATTGCGAAGCATCTGGACAACAATTTGGCCCTACCGACGATGCAATCAGTGATGGCAGGAAGCCAAACCGAAAGTATTGCAATGCACCAAACTAGCAGCATGCTTTGCTGTAGAATTGCGTTGAGTGACGAGAACTAGTCAATCGATCAGAAAGAGATTGAAGTGGGGGAATCCGATTGAGATATACCTCAGTAAAGTTACTTGCGCCGGCGATCGGATATTTTGCAGAGGATGACCTTGAGGTCGTTCCCAAGCTGCAGAGTATCGCACACGTTTGGTTCAAAGAAAACTCCGCCAAACTTCTTGGCGATGCTATTCGAGGCGAGCACGCGTCGAGAGAATAGGAACGCTCACTCACAGATTGAAAAACATTCGACGAGAGCTGGTCACACATACGTTCACTGACAAAAAGTGGCAAGACCACTTGTCCCAACAACATGTCCTCTACTTCCTGGAATAAGCAATGTGGATGTTTCCTGAGACAAATTGCTGCAAACGTAGATGGTTCTCTTTCCCACGAGACAGTTCCGTTTAGTGCAGCTCGTGAGGTCATCGATCCATGGGCCCAAGGGACGAGATTTTACGAACCTGCCCAATATAGCACCTGTCATCCCCGATTCTGGGTTATCCTTGCTAGTGGCCAAAGCAGCAAGTCGAGCTTGCTCAAATGCATTCAATCCCAGCGACCGGCAATCACTGAAACAGGATTTGTTTGGCCATCTATCGAACGAGTCTGTTTTGAGTTGGAAGTCCACAAGTCGTGCGATAATGAGTCTGCATAAGTGAAGCGTGACGCAGGTGATAATCGAGACGAGCTTTCATAGCGGTTTTTGAAATACTGACTACCGAACCTGTTTAAAAATATTGGCTACGAGTGGCATTCTACTTTTGAAGTGGACGTCCTCGAGAAGCTCAAAACCTGTCTGGCGTGTGTTGTTACTGATTTTTGGAGCGCAAACTCTTTCAAATTTGACGATGCTTCATTATTAGCAACCCTGGCGAAGCGTGGCCGGATTTACTCAAACAACGCAAACCTTACAGAAAAAATGGGAATAGCTCAAGTAAGAATTTCCTTTCTATCGCCTGCACGAGTGTCCAACGTTCGCCAGCAGCTTAGTACTCCATCTCTTTCTGCTGTGTCAAGCGGTGACGCCGTGCAGTACCAAACAACGGTCCGATGCACACTAAAAAACAAGTTTTGATCCAAGATATCGGATTGACAGGGACGTAGAGCGTAAAAACAGCTTCGCGTAATCGGTATCTTCCAAATCTGATGGCGACAGCAGTATTCACCCAAAAAAGGATCGCGACACTGACACAGATGGAGATCCTGCCTAAGCTCTTAAGTGATTTCAACAAAACATATCCATCGATGTAGATAGGTTTAAAGAGCTCGTGCGCTTCGTAATGAGTTCCAACACGAACAGCTATACGTAGAAGAGCTGATAGCCGGAAGCAGACTGAGTACAAGGCTTCCCTGAGGCACCACGGATCGTAAAAGCCAAGCGGCAAAATACTTGGATGCTCACCAATTGCGTTCTCGTAGTTGACGACAAGCGCTACCAGAAATCATCTGTGTTTTTGTCTGCTCTCGCTTGAATCAGTCCATTGAAATACGGGAGTTCCAAGTGCATCTTCCATTTAGCCTCCGTTTTTTTGCGCCTCCAAGCTCTTTGTTGCAAGCACGTAGTCCAACCACAAACATCTTACCAAGGCACTGGACGAACCCAAATCGACTACGACATAGAATCGCTTTCTCGACCAATCTCGCAACTTGATCGAGCCATTCACGAGTACGAACGGCTTTGAACGCGAAGAGATGGCACTACACACGGCAAAACCAGTCTGCTACATTATCATGGAGGCCGTAAAGTGAAGATTCTAAGATGGACAGCTCGAAACCTCAAGTAATATCTAACTACGCTTCCGGTGCGTCCGGTGCTTCTGGCAGAACGCTTGCAATTGTCCCCCTTCTTTCATAAACATATCGTAAACCCCTCGGGTTTCACGGCCACACAGAGGGTGGAAATACGTCGAACATGAGCTCCGCATGCATTTGATGCCACCCCTCTTCCCGCACAGAGCGCAAGTTGAGCCCTTCATCTCGGCGGCAGCAGCAGCTACATGTCTTACCCCATTCATGCGCTCTACGTCGGAAAACTGAACACCAGGCGCCCACAGGGCGCACACTACGTGGACCCATTTACCCTCGCACGTTTTTTTGAATGCGCTATTGGAGCGCTTTAAAGGACACAACTCGCACGGCTGCAACAGAAACAAATGTTAGAGTCGTATAATATTATAAACAGAGGAGCCGTTTATGATCACTCACCGCATCAGCAAGAGGACGTGTCGGTTCAGCACAGTAGTCGCAAAACCACGGCTCATCGCCTTCGGGTACTGATTTAATTCCATAACAGTACTGATCAGAAAAAAACAATTAGCTCAAAGGTTTACAGAGGACACGATAACTGCGAAATTCGTACCTGATGAACAGCGACAGAACATTTCTCACATTGTACGATGGGATCGTCAAGGTAGCCTTGGTCGCTAAAGCATACACGACACCACATCTCTTCATCCTCCTGCGGGTCAACGTGGGCCTTGGCAGCCTTTCGAGACTTGCCTCTAGCTTTTGCCGCTTTTTGCGGCCGGCTTCGAAAAAGCTTCTTCTCTGCCTCCTCATTATCCTCATAGGCGTCTTCTTCTGCTTCTTCTTCTTCCTCCTCCTCTTCTTCTTCTTCCTCCTCCTCCTGCTCTTCCTCCTCTTCCTCTTCCTCGGAACCACTTCCGTGTTCCTCGTCTTCGTCCACTGGTACAGCCTTCGGCCGTTTTCTATCAAGATGTTTACTCTTGACGGGGGCGGTCCGAAAGTCTCCATCGCTCGACGACTTATCAAGCTTCTTCTGCACTTTTCGAATCTTGCTAATCACTTTCACAACGCTAAATTTATCGATGCTCTTGGATCTTTTCAGCGAAATATGAATACCACTCAGCACGCGGCCACTTGGTGAAAAGGCTCTGGATTTCCTACCACTAGATGCTTGGCGGGCTGCTTTCGTGTGCTTTGATAGTTCGACATCACCTTCAGCAAACTCGTCGTCACTCTTACTACGCCTCTGATCCTTATTCCTGCCGTTTGATTTCTGCTTCTGCTTGCGGCGGACACCACCTTTCTTTTTCTTCGGAGGCTGCTCCTTAGGTCCATCAAGAAACGCAAGATACATTGACTGCTCCCCTACGTCTTCGCTACGCCGACGTCTGGGTCGCTCAATCAGCTGAAGCCATTCGGCGGCAACCTCACGAACGTTAACTACTCCTTTAATAACACAACCAGTGACCTTCAACTCAATCAAAATAGCGAGAACTTGATCAGCATCTGCTAGAGACTTGCCTCGCTGCCGCTCCTTCACAACTGCACGAGCCAGTTCACGCAACTGCAGAAGAAATCCCTTTACCTCGTCTTGTGAAGCCGTCTTGAGCCAACCTTCTTGGACCTTTGTCATGAGCACCTGCACAGGCTGAGGGCCAAGAACCTTTTCCCAAAACTTCTCGTCATTAAAATCAATTGTCGTGTCGGCTGATTCTGACGTAAACGTTGCTTTCGAGAACGAGAGAGCACTTGTCTGAGATGCAGTCGCCGGTCTCGTATTGCTGTCGCCGTCTCCGCTATTCTTATCGTTCCGAGATTTTGTCGGGTCATATCTGATTGTTCGACTGGTGGACAGTAGATGATCGATGTCAAGTTCATTAATAGCGCGGTTTTCGGGATCCAGCTCGTCTTCTTCGCCCATAATAGCGTAAGCCCCATATCGGATCATCATCTCAACCTTCTCGCGATCTAATGACATCAAAGACATCATATTCGCACCACTGTCATCTTCGCCGTCGAACTCGTTGCGAACCCCACCAGTCTCGAACACGGCGTGGTGCATACCAAGCTTCTTTGACGCAATCTCAAACATCTGGGCTTCGTATGTCTTTTTCGTCACCAAACGATAGATATTCACCGACTGTGTTTGACCAATGCGGTGACAACGTGCGACAGCTTGGAGATCGTTTTGAGGGTTCCAGTCGCTGTCAAACAAGATCACAACCGACGCCGCAATCAAATTGATACCAACGCCACCAGCGCGGGTACTCAAGAGGAACGCAAATGTGTTTGAAGCTGGGTTATTAAAACGGTCAATCGCCGCCTGACGTGAGTTTCCACGCACAGATCCGTCAAGGCGCTCCATACTGTACCCTCGTAACTGGCACATGTCTTCAATGATATCCAGCATAATCTTGAATTGAGAAAAGATAAGCACCTTCTTCTGTTCCTGACGGAACTTGGTCAACAACTTCTCAAGTAACACCGTTTTACCACTAGCTTGAATTAGAACCTTCATCCGTAGTTTCTCGTCGATGCCCATGCACTCCTTGTCCTCAACGCCGCGAATCAAAAAAGGGTGATTACAGCACTTGCGCAGTTCCATCTCAACATTGACCAGATTGGCGACAGTACCGGTCGCTCCCATGTTCAAAAACTGGCGGTTGCGCTCAAAGATAGCTCGGTAATATTTTTTCTGCATCGTAGTCAGCTCCACATCAACAATCGTCTCTTCCTTTGGCGGAATACTCTTTTCCACGTCCTCCTTTACTCGACGAAGCATATACGGTCTCAACTGTTCATGCAATTGAGCAACTTGTTCCGCCGTATTCAGATCACCAAATTCATCATAAAACTCTTGCTGGCTCGGAAATTTTTCGGGCTCGATGAAGTTTAACAGACACCAAAGCTCGAACACACCATTCTGCAGCGGTGTGCCCGTCATCAAAAGGCAAGAATCCCACGTAAAGCCGTGAAGTACCTGAAGTAGCTTCGCTTCACGATTTTTTAGCTTGTGAGCTTCGTCGATCACAATATACCGCCAATGGATGGACTCTAGGAAATCTGCATCCATCATAAGCGTTTGGTATGAAGTCACCAGTACGTTAAACTTGTAAATACCCCGCTTTCGATGACTTTCACTCGCAAAGTGAAATTCTTGTTCACGAATAAAAGCGCGGATGTCGGATCCTCCCTCCGAGTCATGATACACAACACAATTCATCGAAGTCCATGTTTCGATCTCTCGCTTCCAGTTTCCCAGCGTTGCAAGTGGGGCAACAACCAAGAACGGACCTCGAATAAACTCCCGCTGACGCAAATGTTCAAGGATAGAAGTCGCTTGGACTGTCTTACCCAAACCCATTTCATCAGCCAAAATGCAATTGCGACGATTGTACCAGCAAAACGTTAGCCAATTGAGACCTTCGAGTTGGTATGACCGCAGCGTGTTCTGATTGTTATAGGCAGGAGATTCTAGGTACTTTGCCCAAGTGGCCGGCTCGGGTCGAATATCAGCATATGTTGCAGGGTGGGCACCATTAATAATCGGAGGATGATTAAAACGATGGAAGGCGGCAATTTTACGATCATCTGTGAGCTGATCTTCCCATTCCCAGGTGCAATCAATATAGCTCATGTCGCGCCATTTCACAAGGTACTTGATACCCTTTTTCTTTGGTGCCTTCGGTTCGTGTTGAGCGCCATTTACATTCCTTTCTAGGAGATGAACCAAGTATGGGTTCGATTCCTCAAACTCCACGACTTCTTTTGCATTCAGAATACGGTCAACTTCAATGTATGAGTCGCTAAAATAGTTGCTGAGATCCTTCTCTTCACCAACAACGACAGTTTCTCGTGCCTCTTCCACAAGGCGACTGTTTTTCTGAAGATACCGTTTCATACGCTGGATAGCGTGTTGTCCGAATTCTTCAATTTGTCTAACAGAAAGCCAATTCACGTGAAGATACGAAGTGTCCTTCCACTTGATCAGGAACTCCATTGAAACGTCAGTGTCCTTCAAGGTGTGCTTGTGGAAACGCACACTAACAATAGTATCGATTTGTGGGCCCTTCGGTGCTTCCTTTTGTTTGGGATGTGAGGCCTTCTCTTCATCGCTCAACTCGAAGTCAAGCCGCTCATCTACATATTTCTTCTTCAACTTACCGACATTACGTCCTGATCGGCGAGCCGGTTGCTCTTCCTTCAAAACCTTCGAGCCAGAATACTCATCGTCAGAGCCACTTTCATCGTCATCTTCATCTAAACTTTTCTTTTTTCCGCGGCCCCGTTTAGTCTTTTTTTAGCTGGCTTGCCAAGGACAACCGGGGCAAAGTTCTTTCTTTTGTTTCTGTTTGCAGTAGGCTGGATGAAGTTGTGAGCCGTTGTCTTCAACGCGCGGCTCAGAATCTCGTTTGGAATGTTACCACCAGTAGATGTAAACTTAAACACCATGATCTGAGCACGTAGCTGCTCTTTCTGTTCCACGGTGAATGCAGCACGAAGGACTGGCCGTCGACGCTGAATGGGCTGCATTTCTCGAACGTTTGAGATCGCAACAGGAATGTTGGAATTTGCGCCATTGCCTGCAGGGTTCATGAACTGAACTGCTCCATTACCGTACGTTTGATGAATGTACTGGTTGTATGCTATTGCTGCTTCCTTCTCCGTAGAGAAGAGTCCCAGTCGTCGAATACCGCCACCGTCTACATGCAACTCGGCGGCCCACTGGCTTGGAGAGATGTATCTTACGCCCATATGCCACATCCCAGCGGTAAATAGCTGAGGGTTGTCCAAACCAACTATTGACGTCTGTTGCCCCTTGCGGTAGCCCTGGAAATCACGATTTAGGCTGCTCAAAAGGCCGTTTCCACCAGGTCGACGAAAACGCAACAATACTGGACGCAGCGACTTGAGACGTGAAACCACACGTGCGAAATCTTCTTGGCTTTGAACAAGAAAGCCGTCGACGGCAATCAAATCATCGCCAATAGAAATCATACCGCACGCTTCAGCAGGTCCCATCATAGATTCCTCAGGACGGCGAAAACTCGTCACAGAAACCGAGCCCATGCGAACACTCATATTCATACACAATCCAATAGATCCCTTTTGAAGCAGGACCTCATACTCGTCGGTTGAAAATGGATTTTTCCACCCGTATGCTCTTGCATTTTCGGCGCCGGTTGACGCCCGTAAGACATCTATAGCGAGGGCACTAGCCTGAGCCGGGGTTAGTGATTTTTTTGCGTACGAGCCCAGACGACTCAAATTTGCGCGATCCAGAGCGTACGAGTTTTCGTCCAAACGCTGCGGCACAAGAGATTTAGCGGCAAATGGAGCAGGATTTAGACTCGGCTCACTACCCCTTTGGCGCTACAAGATTTTTAGCCCATACGAAACAAGCTAGTAAGCACGATAAAAGTCGTAAATAAGACACCTAACAAGTTACACGTACATTTGGCCTCGCGGGTGTAACTTTTGCCGTAGAAAGCCCTTGCGCGGCTTGCGAGTTCCAACTTGGGTTGTCTTGGTTGTTTCGATTAATCTGGTTGCTCGCAGCAGAAGCATTAACTTGGCCTTGCTCCGTCATTGCAAGTCCAACAGGCGGGCCATCCTGAGGTGTGGTATAAAATGACGGTGCATTCGTCTGGTGGTAGAACATTTGAGACTGCGACACCGCGTTGCTACTCGTGGAACTGTTGTTGGTACCAGCAGCGTCGTTCTGCTCATTTGAAAAAGATACATTGCTTGCAATGTTAGGCGCGCTATTGGTGCTAGAAATGTCACCTTTCTGAAGCTGTTTCATCGCACGCGGATCTCCACTCAGTGGTCGAATAGGCGTAGGTGACGGTGCTACAAATTTCGATGGAGCAAACGGCAATTGCATCTGGTGGTTAACATTCTGCGTGTCAACACTCAGTGAATTATCGTCCCTCTTCTCTTCGTCCGCTACCATTTTGTCCGTAGTGGGATTAGTCAAAACGCCGTTTTCCTTTTCATCAGCAGGAATTTCAGCCCGCGGTAGCTCTTGTGTTAATTGTTCTTCACTTTTTTGTATCTCTTCTTCTTTTGAATGCTTCACATCGACCAACTCCATCCTTGGAAAGATCTCCTTCATCTTTTCCTCGTCTTTTTCGTCTTTCAACTTCACAAAAACTTCACTTGATGAAATTGTTTCAGCACCAACTGCAGTCTCCGTCTCCACTGACTTCGTCTCCGTCTTCTCAGCCTCAGCTTTAGTCTCATCCACACTTGAAGCTACGATATCAGTCGTCTGCTCCACTGTCGCCTCGTCTTCAACTTCAGCAACTACGTCCTTCTCTGTGTCTTGTTCCTGCTCTCTCGTCTCTACAGACATCACCGTCAGTTCTTCTTCACTTTCTTCTCCTTCTTCCTTCTCTAATTCCTCTTTTTCTTGCTCCTGAGTCGTCTCTTTCTCCTCATTTACAACTTTTTTGTCTTCATTAATCTCCTCCGCCGTCTCCTGAGGTGTCTGCGTCTCTTCTGGTCTCTTACCTTCAACCGACTGTAGCTCCTGATGCGGCGTTAGATCCACGTCCTCCATTAGAAAACGCAGTGCGCTACAGACGCCGGGCACTTGTTCTTACGTGGCGGACGCGCACAGGATCTGGAGAGTGATTGCGCTCCTTTCCTTTTGCATTATGAGTCCGCACTGGTGTGGTATTAAATAAAACCCCTTGGTATTTGTATGGGGAGCTCGACCTTTGAAAAAACCTCGACTTGGATCAAAAAGGGACAATCGAAAACAGTACCTATGTCCGAGAAATACATGCTCCAAAAGTCAAGACGCAATAATGAACGACATTCCGTCCTCTTCAAAATGACGGCATCTACTTCTTTTTAATAATATGTTGATCGCATGAATCAGATGTTTCTGAAATGGACGAAGGTGGTCAAATCGGAACTTTTCTCTTGAACAATGTCAATTGCATGCATAAATAACACTTCTAAGGCATGTACATCAAGCCCCCTTTCTACCTCGCCTCAATATACCTGCTAGAGGTGCATCTTTGGAGCGCTCCACCCTTCAAATCACAACGTCGGACCAAGTTGCGATGGGAAGGGGCACGTCATCTCACCAATCCGCAGCTGTGGATTTATTGCCTGTCAGCGTTGTAATCACGTCCGATGTTGAGGCACACTAAATAGTCAAGATCAGCTCGAAGAACTGCGATGGTGTACCGCTTTTTTCCTGCTACAGGGTATTCAGAAACTTGCGAGCTTTCTTCGACAGGCGTGTCGATCGGAAGAAACTAAGGGCACGTTCCAGAGCTGGGCAACTCAATATGTCACCTCGCAAACAAAAGCCACGTCCGTGACGCCTAATACACTTGGCGCAAACTTACGTTGTTAAACAAAATGAGATAAAGCGACAGGGACAACGGCAGCGGAGAAACTGTAAATCTTGGCGTTGCAAGCTTTCATGCGGAACCAAGCCATTTGATTGGTGACTTGTTTACTGGAACGAGGCTGCTCAAGTAGGAGCGACACCAAGAAAATAAGATGTAAGAGCGTGAGCTTCAAAGTGTATCGTATTTGACCGTGATCGAAAGCTCCAATCCAAATTTTAGTATCACAACATGTTAAGTTTATCACCAGAGAGCTTGGAACAGCCGGCTTACTCGACAACTTTACCACTTCGTGCTGGAATATAGTGGCCCGCATCCCACCGTAAAACTGCACTAACTACGAGCACTTGACGCTCCTGCAAAGGTTTTCTTCTTACTATACTGGTCAAACCGCAAGACAAGTTACGCTGTCCTTGGGACAACTCCCCGTGTAAAGAATGCACTCTTCGTGGTCCAGCACCTCGGTAATCGTCAAACACTTCGAAGGATCATGCCGCAAAAATCTGCACAGCGTTGTCCGACATGGACGGCGTCACCCCCCCCCCCTCACCCGACAAAACAGTCTCAGTGCCATTTTGCAACATTGTTCGGAATGTCTTCATAGACGTCAAACCTTGTGACAAGCGATAAGCCTGTGAGGATGATGAAGAACTCGATACCGAGCTGGTGACCTTGGGTTCGTATGAGCCACTCGCGACGATCTCAGGTGCCCATGTAGTATTTCTTGCCCGCTCGGCGACCGCTAGCGGTGTAGCAGTCCGCACCCGCCAATTTTGCACCTTTTTCGATCCAGCATGATGTTCTCGGGCGAGGATATCGCGGTGTGCGATGCCGAGCTTGTGCCGAACGCCAGGCTCGTGGCCACTTGGAACGAGTGCATTTGAATACAACATTGTACGCTGTCATCGCTGGCTCAGATAGTCGTACAGATCATCATCAATTTAAGACGAAGTGTCTGGTAGCCTTGCGGTGCACCGTTTTTGGGTGACCTCAAGCTGCGCGAACGATGCATCGCCCATCTCTTACTGCACGAACCCGTTGTCTGGAATGTGATCGTCACAAGGGTACAAGCCGCTTGCCCTCCGCTCGAGCGATACTTGTTTGATGATGACACTGCTCTTCCGGCTCGTCGCCTTGTGTGTCGTCACACGAGATGACGCCCCCGCAAAACGTCGCATGACTGATGTTGTGTACGGGTGTACAAGCTGAAATGTGGCGTCCATACATCATCCTGGAAGAAGGAAGAATAGCAATATGTCGAGTAGAATGCGTGTGTATCAAAAAGTAGTCGCTTATGTCTATAACTATGCTTGCTTCTATACGGGCTATACCAATAGCACATTCAACGTTGCTTGGATACGGTAGAGCTAAAATCTGACCACCATCTTGGCTTTGCCCATACAAATCCTAAAGATTGCCGCTTCGATTAAGCACAAAATCTTACGACATGATTCAATGTGACGCTGGCAATGAACACCGAAAGAAGGTTGTACATTGAACAAAGCACATGATCACCAGTAGTATATCATGCGCCGTATTGAGTATGTAAATTTTACAATAAAGGGTTTTTCAATGCCATCTCCATAATGGTAAATTGTTGGCATCTTGGCTGCGATATCGTTACCGTATGAGCACACCTTGATCGAGTCTGACTGCTCTTTCAAGTACAATCTACAAGTCATCCAGCAACTATTGTCTGTATATTGACTCATTTCGTGCATGGATTGCAAAAGAACGCATTTTGGCAGCAGAACCATCGTAGCATATGTGTGTAGTGGTTTATCGGCTCTATTGCGCGGTGGTGGTTGACCCATAACGATGTGGAGTTTCTCGGTGATCTCATTAAGCTTTGCTTGCTCTTATCGCGCTTTATGACAGAAGTGTCAAGACATACGACCCCTTAGTGTACCCATCAGTGTTCTGCACGAACCGCTTATCCAGCACTGCAAGCATAAAACTTTAGTCATTACTCGACTTATCTCTTCCTATGCACCTATACTCTAAGCAAGTGGCTAGCATGTCGAATGAGAGCATGTCAATGGTGGAGCATCCATATAAGCTAGTGCTTTGCTCTACAACTTAGCAAAACGGGGATTCATAAAGCACATGGTCAAGCTTGCATGTTTTCAATAACTGGAAGTGCTGGTAACGCTACAATTCGACATGAAAAGACCCGATTGGGGATCATATAGCATACTACAAACATACAGTGGCCCGAATCTTTCCTAAACGTTTGACGAGTTTTTTGTGCAAACGTGTCAAAAAAGCCATCTTAATTCAAACATATGCAGCTAAACTTCCCTGTCAGCACACCCACACATCCACGTTATTGGGCGATGAACTTGAACGAGAACTGTTGGTGAAAAACCAGTGGTTTTTTGAGCAATTCTCAAGTCGTAATAGCTATCTTAACGTGTCATTTACGCGTGCGATGAGACTCCATCCTTGTACTGAGGCTTGAGCTCGTAGCAGCTCTTGTTGGGGCCCTTGCGGTGATACACGCAAATCTCCTTGAGCACCTCCTTCAAGAACGACTGCAGTACAAAATCCGACCAGGATGAAAGATGTCAAATGGGAGAGCTTTCTATCTCCAAATCAGTCGTGAACGCACCTCAGACTGGCGACAATGATAATTAAGCTCCTTGAGCGGCCAGTACTCGCGCTCCTCGAAGTGATGGAACACGAGATTCTTCAGCTCATCCTGCATGAACCAAACAATAGACGCGGTTAAACTAGCAAAGGTTATAACAATTCACAATCATGCTCGTACCTTGCTCATCTTAATTTTCTTGTCCAATCTGTCCTGTAGCTTCGAATCATCGTCTTCCTGCAAATGAAACGAATCCCAAAGCACAGTGAGCAACTCCAAACCTCATACCTGTGTCCATCCTCAAAAACTCACGTCCTCGGCGTCCGGGTCAGGCTTGTCAATAGTGAACTGGATCCTCGCCTTTTTCACGCGAGGCAAGTCTTCCAGTGGCTGAACGATTCTGTAATAAGTCCAAGCAGTCAGAATAAAGCCAAAGTGAATCATCTCACCCAAGTCTTAATCGTTTTGCACCTACCTCGTCTTAACCATGGACTTGATCAGCCGTTGCTTGCACATTTTGTTGTACTGATCATTACGCTGGGCCATGATAGTGCAGCTATTCTTCACAGTACCTTCCACAGCCATTCGACCGGAACCATCTAGTGAAAACACCTTGAGCTTCAATGGCGTTTCACTGATCTCAACACGATACTCGGTCGGAATGTCGTTCTCCAATGTGCTTGGATTGACCGTTAGCATTCCCTGCTCGTGTACCAATTCGCAATTAGTATTGCAACAATTGGCAGTAAAGTCGCTATTGTAAATTTGACCTTGCGACGACCGAGAACGCTCTTCTTTTCCAATTTAATCGATCCCAGCATCAACTCACTCTCTACAAATTCATACATTTAATCCACAAGTTATGAAGAAATATTAAATCAGTACAATATCGATCAATACCTTGTACATTTTTCCACGATGCGCCAAGTGCAGTCTGTAACATCGTCAAATTCAAGTCAACTAGCAGCTTATGAGGCTGTAAAAGCCATAACAGAGAGATTAGACGTAGTAGATGATAAATACGTACTGGGATCTTGGCGAGATACACCTCACGGTCCTCTAGCTCAAGGTGCAGTGGCTCCACGACTTCCTCTGACTCGGCCATATTGTTTTTTGTATGTAAATGTGAATCTGCTTTAATTATTGTAATTAAATATAAAGTTGTTATATTTAATATGCTGAGCTTAATTAATATACCTCTATGACCTTAGCATTTTATAAACATTGAATATCTAACCTAATTTGACGGATGCCTCCGTCGGTGTTGTTACTCAAAGCAGCGGATGAAAAGTACAAAACTGCTTTTAAACGAATAAATGAGTCTCAGCAAGGGATGGAAGTTCATTTTGCTGACGTCTTAACGTTTAAGTACCTCAATACAGTGCAACTTTTAGATGTATTGACACACTTGGACCGTTATTGTGGCATCTTACTCACGAGTCCACGCAGTGCAATTGCTGTAGTCAATGTAGTCAATGGACTGGACGTAGAATCGAAACAGGATGTATTGGAGAAGCTACGCTCCACTTCCGTGTTTTCAGTGGGTACAGCCACGTCGCGAGAGCTGTTGCCGCTTGGTGTTGTCTGTAAGGGCGACGATGCCGGCTCGGCGGATATGCTGTCTGACTATTTGCACGAGAATGGCAGTCTACCTGTAGATTGCAAGGACAAGCCAATGATGTTTCTCTGTGGTAACAAGCGCCGTGATGTTCTTCCTGACAGTTTTCGGTCTCGAGGTCTTTCACTAGAAGAGTTGATCGTCTATCAGACTTGCCCCGTACAGAACGTCGAGTTCCCTGTCAAAGTACCAGATTGGATTGTTTTCTTCAGTCCGAGCGGACTAAAAGTGGTGAAAGATCTGCATCTACCATGGAAATTGATTCGCAAGGCCGCAATCGGTACGTACTGGACTCATCCAACTTTGAATTGCAATGATTCAGTACTAAAACTTGCTTGCATTACCATCAGGTAAGACAAGTGCCGCTGCACTCCACGACCACGCAGTAGCTACTGGACAATCCTTCTGGGAAGCAGACGTGATAGCACCCAAACCCAAGCCAGAGTCTCTGGCTGATGCCATCTTCACCTTTCAAGACAACCACAAGTTGTGAATAAACTATTGGCGCAAAGCCAATTGGTAGCTGGATGATCAACATCGCTCAACCACGCGACAACAATTGACACAAATGCTCGTTGAAAATTCACATTGTTGGCTTTGGAGCCTAATATTTCAACTCTTTAGCTCCGTAATTTTCTCTCAGAAGGTAAGTCTCTATCTTTACATAGACACTCGTCTCTCATAACCGAGATTTATTCTTCTTCCTCCGTCTTTCGCGGCTGCAGAGCGAGCTTCAGAGCCTAAAAAATAAGGGTACATACAAAAAATTAGAAACGTATAAAAATGATTGCAATAAAAAGAGACAAATACAAACCTCGGCGCCTTCTCGTCGCGCATTCCAGTCAGCAACTGGACCCGTGATGATCTGCATCGTGGCCAAGACGATACCACCGGTCAATAGATAGCGAGCAATTCCTTTCATACTTAAAGGCGTAGTAGGTTTTTGAGGTCCGGGGGTGAGTACCGCTCCGTAGGTCTAGTACTACCGGTACAGATGACGTCTAAAGATGGTAGCTAGTTGTCACTCTATCAGTTTTTTAGCCACTTTTAAATCTGACAGCAAGAATCTAGAAACACTTCTAATTCTGTATAAGGAACTCACTTAGTAGAATAATAAACGTTAGCATGCAATTCAAGGCCAAACATTGTACTGTTCAGTGTATCGCCGATGCCAAGGTGGCCGATAAACGATTAGCACCAATATGGCAAGCATACTTTACGCACCAGATATGCGGTCCTTTCTTCTTTACAAATTCGATGGCCATGGACTATTGCAACAGTGCCAAAACTCTTTACAAAAGTAGAGGCACTAGTTTATACGTTGAAGGAAGAATACCACGTTCATCTGTCTTACTTGAAAGCGTGAGACTATTAAGCCCGCGCTGAAGCGTGTTTAGTGGCATATATAATGCCCCACAGCTTACCGTCTCAGAGAGCAAGTAGTCAGCGATGGACGTACTCCCAATGCTTGGACGTACTCCCAATGCTTGGACGTACTCCCAATGCTTGGACGTACTCCCAATGCTTGGACGTACTCCCAATGCTTGGACGTACTCCCAATGCTTGGACGTACTCCCAATGCTTGGACGTACTCCCAATGCTTGGACGTACTCCCAATGCTTGGACGTACTCCCAATGCTTGGGGTTGACGTATTTCGGATCACGTTAACCTTAAGCTCAAGCAGGTGATGCGCACTGTATATGGCATGGATCCTTGTCAGCGAGCTCTCTTGGAATTCTTTATACAACCAGATCGACTAGCAGGTACCGATCCCAGTGCAAGGCCGACAGCGATCTAACGCCTACTTACGCTACGGACGACAAAGCGATTCACGTTAGGGCTACGAGAAAGCGTAAACGGAGTTTTGATCCAATCTGAATGCCAGTGCTTGAAAGAATGAGCCTTCACAATCAAATTGGAATTGAAGGCATAAAGGTTTCTTTGAAAGCATGCATGTACATGCTTATTGACGTTTGATCACATGTTGTTCGTCACTGTGTTGATGCGACCTGCAATTTAATTTGTACTCGTGATTTCGTGCTTGAAAGCATTTTCTGGCATTTACAATATGTACTAACGGCTGGGTCGTTGGAAAAACCTTAATGTGATGTCGGTCCCAAAGTAGCTAGAGTCTTTGCGGAAAGAGGCAACTGACAAGTCTCTCGTGAGCGAACCATGTCGTGTCGTCAAGCCTGCGCGAGCTGCTTCAACGTCGGATATGCAGTAGGGGGTCTAAATTATGGCTTACCGATCCACCGTGTGATGCCTTGTGGTCACGTCTTCTGCAAACCTTGTATCACTCAGCGTTGTGCTCTGGCATTAACGAATCGAGCTCTTGTTCCTGCGCATTGTTGCGGTATGGAATTTCCGACCGAGTACGTTATGGAAGCACTAGAGCACACGAGCTACAACACTTACTCGCGGCTCTTGAGCGAGCGTCAGTGGATCAACTCTACCCTTCGATCTGATGTCGAGTATGCCGCGACGGTGAAGAAAGAATGGGTGGATGCAGTGTCCGCGCTGTGGCATTGGCATAACAAAACTATCTGGATGTGACCACATGAGATGCTTCTGCGGCTTCAGGTTTAATTTCCGGAACTGATTGTTGTTTGTATGTGCAAGTCGAGCGTGACGCATGTTGTCACCGTATAAGATCCGAATGGTATTCCGAATGATATCTCCATCTATAAACGATGCATTTCGTTATCTGTTTTTTGCAGTTGCACTCATATTGTTCGTGCTCACTCTCTAGACCAGCAAACATTCGGTGAGGGAGGGAGACCAGTAGAACAATGGAGGCCGCACAATTACTGCTTGTTCGGATCCTGGAGTATTGTAATTGTAGGATGTTGACAAGTCCACATAGACGACGGGTACGTGCGAGGTTAAAATTTTCTAAAGCGAACAGTGGGTAGGATCCAATTTCCACCAGTTTACTCGTTTCTTGCCTACAAGGTTGGAGTCGCTCGAAGCCACCCTTGTAAACCGCTTGAGTACCGACGCAGAAAGTAGGCCATTGGTAATTGCTCCCCGAGCAAAAGTCGGTTCATCGGTGCCGAATCTATGCTGCAATTGCACATCGTGCTTCCACCCGGGTCCATTTCTTATAGCAAGTCGCTAGATAGTTTCATCGCTTTGTCCTTGATCCGCGTACTTGCTGCCTATGGAATGACATTAACACAGGCAGCAAGCACGTAACTTAAGCTACTTCCGGCGATCGACAGTAAAGCTACGTGTGGTTGTCATCGTCATGTCTATTGAATAGCCATCTTTCCTGAATTGGGCTTAAAGGTGTTAGGTTGCAAAGCCAAAGATCGCAACAGAATACTCTGAAGGCGTCGCTAAGATATCCCTCTGCGTAAACAATGATCGCTGCTCACGTCTCCTTTTGAGAGCTGCCCTGCTTTAGACGATCGAGCCGTGAATTAACACGTTCATGTAATAAGGTATCATTTTTCCAAACGGTGAAAGCGTTGTGTTGCTTATAGAAGAGATTGTAGGCGCAAAAAAGGTATCGAATGCGAGAGTTGCTAAACACTGTTGTTGCCACGCGCCCATATTCAAAGCGTGCTACTTAGGTGACAACCGTTAAAGACTAGTATGATGATGCTTGACCACTGGATCCATCATGCACTGATTTTACCGCTCTTTGGCGATTATTCTTGGTACATTTGAGTAACATCTCAAAGTTCGATCAAGCAATTACGGGTTCTCAAACTGTGCCAATAGTAGACGAAAGCATTGTAACGCTTCAAACGAGCGATAGATACTTCAGAAAAACTCCCGCATGAATGATGACATCTCGAAAGAAAGGACTCGTCAAACGTATCTGGACAAAATCGAGGGGTTGTATCCAATTTCCTCTGCAATACACAAAGTGGTGATGCTTGTTACCAGCTGCTTTCTAGGCAGCAAGAACTGCTTTAGTTGCTGCAGATTGTCAAGGGGTAGCTGGATCAATTGTAATATCCCATCTTCGCAGAAGTTGTGCGAAAAAGGTTCCTCGGGTACGGCTATCCACTGGCTTGTTTGTCAGCCATAAAGTTCCTGAGCCCAACCATTCGTGCTGCAGACTCGTCTACAGTTGACGCCCGATGTTCTGGAACTCCTTGCTGTCTTTTGGCGCTCAACCAAATAGTATGCAGCAGGATCATTCTAGGAAGCAGCTGATCTTGCCAGCTCCATTAATGACAATCGCATTTGAAGCTATTTGTTATTTGTCTTCTTCACGAAGCAAGTGATTGCCGTTAGTGGGCGCATTGCCAACTTCAACAGCTTCCCTCGTTCGTCACCTTCTGACGAAAATTGTCTCGTCCAAAGCAATTGCAATCTCGACACCTCGTTACGTGGCCCAACAGCTGTGAAATTGGATCGTCGTCTTGAAACGTCGACCGCGCTTGTCCACATCACGACAGCATTGGAGACGGTTGAAAAGCAATCATCGGACACGTTGCCCGTCGAATGCTGGATGCAGCTCAGGATGACCTCGTGCTCATTTCCGCTGACCTCATAAGGGTGGCTATCAACTGGAAAACAATCGTTACCGGAACATCTACGATATCATATGCGCACCATGGGAGATGCACTGGCAAAAGAAGGGCGTTGTCTTCCAGCATCATCTGCAGTCCTGTCATCAGCCAAAAAGAAGATAGATAGATGAGCATTCCGGGGCGATTGATTGTAAGCCGCAAAATATACTACATAGCTCCGTGTGACAACGATACCTTATATTGTTTGCAGGGTTTACTTGACCCTCGACATTGTTTGGAGATTACGCCTCATATCATATTCATCCTATTTACATGCTACTCGTTACATCAATCCGTTAGCATTGTTGTGCTTGCTGCTGCAGTTGCTGCTGCTGCTTGCCGTGCTTGATACAGAAGCCGCCGCTCCGGGCTGCATGGGTGCAACCTTTCGTCGCACATCGCTTGCCGCCTCCGTGCGAGTAGCAGGTGCCTCCGGACTGCGCACTCTTCCTGCAGTTAGCCACCGCACAGCGACGGCCTCCGCCGTGGGAGATGCAGAAGCCGCCACGGTGTGCGCACTTCTGGCAACCAGCCATCTTACAGAAATGGCGTCCGCCATGCTCCATGCAAAGACCTTTGCGTCTCGCGTCATTGGTGCAACCGTCACGACGACACTTGGCTGTTGGTCTGTAGCTACTAGTGCTTCCGGTGGACTGTGTAGGGCTAGCAACAACACGAGGTTTCTTGGACAACGGAGCCGACAGGAACGTCGCATGCTCTGTGTAGATCGGATGCTGTGTGCCGAAAGTCACCCCTGAAGTAGTGTACATGGGGCTGCCGGGCTGCCTTGACATGTCGTAGCTCGTATAAGCCGAGACGGAGACTCGCTGACGATGCTCCGTTCGTCGGGGCCGAGTAGGCACCATCGTCCGCAATGCCGGTAGATACTGTGGCTGGGAAATTGAAGGCGGGAGCACGTGGCTTGGAAGTGGGTTAGTGGTCTGCACGAATGGGGTTTGAGACGGAGACGGGAAGTGTGGGGCCGGTCGCCCATGTATGTGGTCATGGCAGTAGCCCTGCATCTTGCCAAAGTTAGCGCAGCCCTGGAACCTACAATACTCGAGTTTCAAAGGAGTCAGGAGACTGCTTCTTCCGACGATCGGGAACCGGGTGGTCATGGTGTTGTTGACCGGACTGATATTGCCGATAGATGGGAGGAACGGAGTGGTTGCGATGGTCGACGCAGTGTTTGACAGGTTGATGATAGGGCTGCTACTGGTCATGAGCTGGCGCTTCTTATCGTCGATCTGCTGCATCATTCTTTCCTCGACGTTTGTGGTCATGATCCACGGGTGAGGGTCCATCTTTTCTATTGACATGTACTGCTACGATCTATGATCTATTACACAGGTTTCTAGTGCCTTCTGTGTTCAAGTGTAAATTCGCAAATGCCAGAGATTTTCAGGCTGGACGGGCACTCGAGTTAACGTCAGCCAGCCGGCGCAAAGTTTGACTTTCCCTGCTATCGGATTCCTATCACAGCGCATTCGATCAAAGGATTTGGATCGATGCCGATACTTTTCTGCACTCGGCTGTTTTCTGCGGCGAGTGTCACTAACAGTTGTAGCAGACTTCAGTAACTCGCTGAGACTTTGGGTGAGCTCGGGCCAGCAGGTGTGCAGCACGACAAATTTGAGGGGATTGAAAACGCAGCTTAGTCAGGCTTTTGAGATGAAACAGTAGGGCTGCGAGCAAGCGCTGATTTATTTACGCATCTAAAAACTGGCGCCACGTTGCAAGAAGCCTCTAAGCGATACCGGCGCCTTCTGCATCTTCAGTTGACCAGCGTAACTGTCGGTGATTTAAATCAAAAGAAGACCATACCTATCTCCACCTCAACGGCCGACTACTTAGCGTTTCTATACCTCGCCGCCACGTTCACCTAGCCGTAATGTTGCCCAATTTTTGAAAGGATGCTAAGTTAGCTGGCGTGCCCTACGCGGCGTCAGCCCAGACGATTCCTCCGCGCCTTCCACTTCATGAGCACCGAGAGATTGGAGATCGCGTGATTGCAATCGCATTTGTTGTATTGCGCGGGCATGGAAGACCATGCAGATTCCAACTGACCTTTAGCTAAGAGAGCCTATCCAGCTATACGTATTGGCACCCCATAAGTCTATCGCAGCCCAACACCGGATAGATCGAAGTCGGTAGCTGACAGAAACGCTGGCTGATCGCAAGGTTATGCTAGATAAAAGATCATCAGCCTGAGACTGTCTCCAACCGATGAGTTACAGCTTGACTTTGATATACCTTAAACAAGACGACGCCACATGACGGTTCCAACGTAGCACCTATGGGGTGAACCGTGCGGGGCCCATTTTTGTTGGTACTGTTATTGCTATCCATATTATGGGTTTTGCACTTCTTCTCAATGTACTGCATGTACATACTCTCGAGGGTATCTCAAGATACCAGCGACATGACTTGAGCGCCACCCTATGTGACGCATTGACACTTGTTACTCTTAGTAATCAAATACGATCCGAATGGGCTCTGTTAAATGTCCCTTTGCCATTTCAGCGTCGCCTACTAGCTGATGTCCGCGTAGATTCGGTAAAGATGACTCCCAAATCCTGAGGAGAACGACAAAGTGGCGCCCCCATGGACGTTTACGTTGACAGCCAACGATCGCCGACAGGAATTTTTTTGACTTAACAAATTTCTCAGCTGGTGCTCCTTGGTCGTCTCATGCAACACAAGCTATTGAATACGCGCTTGCAGCTGTTTCTTGTGCAACTGAATAAATGGCTCTCGCGCCTCGGCATTGAGCCTTCGATTGAGCACCGAGCACTACTGCCTGTCAGTGTCTTCACACAGACCTTTGCTCCACGGCAGCGTTCACTCGAAGCGAACGCCTTGAAGCCATAAAATTTGACATGGATAGGCAAGCCGCCAAGTCAGCTGCATCGTAATGCAATTTGCAGCCTGCAGTGAGTCCCACAACATCGCAAATCTTGACTATCTCAATTATTCAGGACGAGGGACATGCAACACACATACTACCGCTGAACGGCGAGCGACCGGGACAAATCGCAATGCGTCGTCGGCTTTATTTGCTATGATAATCCTATGCAACAAGCATGGGAGGGCAGAAGGACGCTACCATCATTCATCAAAACGGAAGCATGGAATGCGAATGAAGTCCGTCGACACCCCGATAGCATACGTTCATGATAGCGTGACGATGATTGTCACAGCAACAACATGGTCACGGTTTTGGTTAGTTGTGACATGTTCCCTGCAAAAGGTCTCAAGCCCGTGGGAATCGATCATAAAGTACAATGTACATAGTGGTCTCACGAAGTGGTAAGAACTTCAAGATGAGGCTATATAGAATGTCAGATCATTTATTTATCAACGGTAGATGTCGTCCAGCGAGACTGACCAAACATCATATGTCGTAACATACTTGCCCGTCGCATATCCGAGCGGACCTTCCAAGCTTTATATTGGTCCTTTATTTTAGTCCTTCCAATATAAATAGTACACCTAATTATACGAGTACCTTCCGCATACATTCATACATACTAGCAAATAAAGAGTATTTCGGCTAATCGTTTACAATGCTCTCCAATGCGTCTTATGCCTTTTAGCAGTTTTAGCAGTCTCTACTTTTTTCCAGCACCATACATTTAGCAAGCATGAGCTCTCCAGCCCAAATGCTCAAGAGCGTGCTCGTTCTGCAGCTTGAGGCCGTGAAGACGCTAGTGATCGAGTATCATCAACAGACAGAAGCTTACGTACAACAATTTGGCCACCTACCACTATCTCATGATCCCATGGACGCCGCCCACGATGCCCGCATTGCATTGCGTACGTTGCCAGCTTTGGCCGAAAGTTGTGTCGTCTCGGAAGTCATTTTAATGGCTACCAAGAAACATTGTGGGGGTGATATGTGTGCCACATCAGCTGACCATTTAGAAAGTTTTCTAACTATCAGTCGAAAAGATGTCAAGACTGTAGAGGATCGAGTACATGCGCTGTTCGTACTGGACGCGAGTTTAACTCATGCGCAGCTCAAGAAAGAGATGCAATCGAGATTCGAGGGAAAAAGGGGCTACGATTTGCTTGTGGAGTGGCTCGCCGTGAGCTGCAGCTATAAGGATGAAATGTCTAAAGCTTTTACCGAGTTGTTACTACTGATGCTCAAGAAAAACGTCCCTACTATGTCGTTCACGACCAAGACGATGATCAAGAGTTTGACGCAATACAAAAAAGTCATGAAGGGCAAAAAGAACAAGATACTTTTGCAGGTTGTTGTCGATCAATACCGCGAGAAAATCAACTCGTAGCTAGTTAAGTATCTTTTTGTGCTTGGGTCTTGTGTATTAATATGTTTTGAAAAGTACTAATACTGCTGCTGCCTATAAACGGTATATAATTGCAAATACTTGAATTAAAAAACTATTACATTTGATGAATACTTTGTTCGATGTTAAGAAACTACTATATGTATAATACTAAATTATTTTCAAGCTCAAAACTAGTTTATAAGCTCGATCATTATAGTAGTCAATCAGAGTAGCATCATATTTATAGTACCAATTGTTGTACCGGTTCCTCAGGCTGTGACGTTGACGGGCTCCATAAGCTGTAAGTCGTTTTTTTCTTCTAGATGGCGAACCCACTTCCAACTCGTATTCTTTGCTAAAAGCGTTAGATTCCTTACAACATTTGACATTGCGCTTTAAAAAGGCCTCTAGAACTGGTGCGCTGCACGAGTGCAGGAAACGGATCTTGACGCCTTGAATTATCGTGACTTGCTACCGCTCCACCAAATGCTTCACAGTTTGTGTTCTTCCTTTTCGTCGATTAAATTGGTTTTACTGTCGTCACTTTCTTCGATTGGCGTAGCATCTTTGCTAGATCCGATACGTGCTTGACTCCAGTCAGGAATGACTCCACTGTATCCGTAGTCGAAAAACAACTCGTCCCCAGCTGCGACGTCTTCTTTCGCATAAATTCCAATGCGATGGTCGCCATTAACATGCATAATCCTGGCAAAGCATTTCGGATCTGCCGAGTCGTGATTTGCAAACTTGCTTTTGTTGCCCTTGCGCGTTGCATCCACAACCGAGTCTTCGGTCAAGTCGAACAAGAAACTAATTGTCGTTTTGTCGTATACGTTGCCTCGCCGTTCGGCTTCATCTTGAGATAACAGTGATCCAGTGTACTCATACATGAACTCACCCTTCTTCACATTCTCTAAGGCGTATGCTCCCCAACCATGGGTAGCTGACGCCGAAACCCCAATCTTACGCATGTCACCGCGCAAAATGTTAACATTTCCGCAGATTTTGAGCTGAGCCACGGTTTTACCTTTGCTTCCTTCAGCAGCCATGACAACTGGAAGTTCACTAGCACCGCATGAGGTACAAACATCTGGGTCGCATTCCCGTGCAGCAAAATAGCAAGGACACTTTGAAGTTTGACACTGGCCCACTTCACAATGGCACCCCGGAAAACGATTGGAGCAATCTGGGGAGCAGCCACATGACTTTTCGCAATAGTGGTCGCGGCGCATGCACGAACACTGCGCTGAATCGCAAGACCCGCCATCATGGTTGCACGGAACAAACTCATGATTTGCACCGCGGTCCTTCATTCGCTGAGAGCGTGTACGACAAAGATGCTCGTAACTGTTACCGAGAACACCATTGCTTTTCTCTCGGTTTCGCCCGCAAACACCACTTCGCACTAAGACAAGCTCGTCAAGATCATCTTGCGCTAATCTTTTGCGTTGGCGCAAGAAATCAGCAATTTCAGTGCAACTTCGTGTGGCAAGCAGCGCCGCCAAGGCGCACGAGTTTACACCAACACATTTCACCAGCTTTTTCAGCAAAGTAATTTCTGACCCTCTCCACGGCTTGTCTCGCGTTGTGTAGCTACAACCATGGCTTTTTTCACGTTGGATCGATTCCAATGCAGCCTTCGAGCAATGAGACCCACAACAAAAGTCGGTAGAAAATATCGCCAACTTTTTATCATGCGTGATCGCTTCGTAAGCGCCATCCAAACCTAAATATTCCGACACATCTGTTGTCTTGGAACGCACCATTTTTTTCGTGTGAACGCGAAGCAGTTTCGATGACGCCATTGTACTTGCGGCCGTTTGAGCACGTAGCGATCTTCGCGTAAATTCACCGGCAACCGTATTTGTCGCATCACGAGTCTGTTGCATTTCTGTCGCTACAGAAGAGTCAGTAGTGGCCGCTAGCTCGGGCACTGGCTCACAAGCTTCAAAAGTTTCTTCGACATCCGTTTCTAGACCAGTATCTTCTATAGATTGCAGTTGTTCTTCTTCGACTCGTCGCCATAGTTTTAGAGTAGCCTTGACCACTGGGTAGCGTGGATCAACACGCACGATTGGAAATGGCTGTCCACGGCCATGGTTTCTACAGCTGTAAACGCAACATCGACGGCAGAAGAAATCTTGATACTTGATTGCCAGTTCTCTATATTGCTCCGATGGAGCACCTCGCACACCTAACTCTTCACCATGTTGCAGATAGTTTAAAATCACGTGCGTCGGAAGTGGCTTCAACCGGTCACGCAGGTGCGTCCCAGCCTGCAATGCGCGGCACTCATCAAGAATACTGGCTAGTACACGTTTTCTATATGCAGAAATGTCATTGCTGTTTTGCTGCCCTTCCAATTCGTGTAAATGCCGCTTCCATAGTTGCACTCGAGTTTCACGGTCAAGGATATCGCAATAATTTGCAAAAGGTTGTGCAAATGCACCAATTCGTTGAAGTGCGTCGAAAACGCTCTGGTCACTCCCGCAAACACTCACCACATACCGCAATATAAACTCCTTCACCTCATCATCCATACCTACTAGTGTATCCTGGCAAGGATCCATGGTGCCAACTTGAGGCTCCTCCGACTTGACGTTACTTCTAGCACTAAAGTACGGCACAAAACGAATGATCGGGTCATCCTCGACTCGGTGCGTTCCCCAAACCAGCATGCAAGTCGTTGAGCGCGGGAGCGGAGCTATTTTCCTGAGATATGTCTCTGTTCTCGGGTACACTTGCTCAGAGTAACCTGACTCGCTTCGTCCAACTGAGTAGTGGGGACGGTTTTCGCTATCGAGCATGAACTCAGCATCTCGAAGCAACCTTCGCGCAGCAACCTCTTCAAGCCGCGAGATTTGAAGTGGGAGGCCTGTCATACCAACAAAACCCACGACGTGTCATCAGTTTTGGATTCAGCACACCACACTAACCTCTCCATCTATCCTGTCGTACCAACAATCGCCGACAATATCTTCGCACGAACAACTGGTCGATCTTCTAAGTACGCCGCAATCTGCTGTCGAGTGTTGGCAATAATGGCTTTCCTCCTCGCTGTATGACACTTTTTAATCAACGGCGTCGCTTCGTCAATCACTGCACGCACTCTTTCATCCATTTGCATCATGTCACGAGCCTATAAAATAAACAAATTAGCTCCAAAATCAATCAGTCTCTCTCTCTCTCCCTCTTACCTCCCCTAACGTCCCCGACGTCATGGTCAATACTTTCGGCTTGAGAAACTCCATTGATACATAACATGTCCTCTTTACATGTTCATCAAACTCATCTAATGAAATCTCTGTCATCTCAATTGCAAAAGGCTGCAACAAATCGTTTCGATCTGGTAAGAGATTACTCGGTGCATCTTTCAACTTGACATGACGCCAAGCTGTTGAATGCAATACCACATCCAAAACCATCTCTTGATCCCTTGAAACCTTTCGTTTTAATCCCTTTTCCTTTAGAAAAGATACTTTCTTCTCAACTGATGAAGAGCATGAACTTCTCTTACGTCGTAAATTTTGACGTGCACTACGTCGTTTTTCCGTCCGTTTCTGTGTCGATCGTATAGCTGATGATTCTATAATTGTCTCCCCTTTACGTAGCTGTACAGAACTCGATTGAAGCTGTTGACGACTCATTTCATAGTGAAGACGTTCCATTTCACGTTCCTGAGCCATTACTTCACCAAAAAAAACACGACTTTCAGTCTTACGATGAGTACGACGTGGTTCAGATGATGATTCACGACTGCGTTTACGATTTTCAATGATATTGTCATCCGTAACGTCGACCAAGTCGATCACGTCGATGATCGGGGGCTGCTGCATGAAGACTGACTGGTTATAATTGCTCGAACGGATTTGACAGGGAGGTTACAATTGTGTTATAACGGTTTTATTACGTATTCGTAAAACGGGTTTTATATTTATTGCAGTCGTTAGCTTACGTACCCTGATAAATTACACTTAAATGACACGACGACTAGTACCGAGTAATAATGGCTTGTGGAGAAAAGGCGTCTTGGCCCGTCGTATGAGAATACAGCGGCAGCGACGTCCTACGTTGCGTCTAGAGTCGAGCGCTTGTGGGCTTCCACATCCACAGAAGCGCGCTACAGGTGGAGAGGATGCCTGGTTTATAAGCGGTGATACTGTCGGCGTCGCGGACGGTGTCGGTGGCTGGGCCCGCAAAGTAATTTATTTGTAAATTAACTGGGTTTTTTTACGGCGTTCGATAACGAGACAGTATGGTAGGGTATTGATTCCGGCGAGTATGCGCGGAAACTCAAGAACTCGGCCGAGCGAGTGGTGGCGATGGCTGACAAGACGCTTACGCCATTGCAAGTGCTGACGGTGGCACATCGCAATGCAAAGGTTTGTATGGAAGTTTGAAATCTGATTGGACAAAAAGAGTTTTTACGATGTGATGATTGGATGAAAAGTGTCTCGGTAGCTCCACGGCATGTATTGTACAACTGGAGGGTAATTTATTCGTCTTGTTTGATTTAAATGGATACAGATTCTGACTGATGGTGGACTTTGATGTATTACATGTAGATTTGTCATTACGGGCGATCAATTTGGGTGACTCGGGCTTTATATTGTGACGGTTACATACGGACGACAAAGTGGGAGGTGCTTTGAGGTGGCAGATCGTCCATGAGACATCGAGTCAATGCCATTACTTTAACTGTCCATATCAACTTGGTTTTGGTGCAAACGGAGATGAAGTAAGTCTTTTCATTACACTAAGATGTCTAGTTGCTATTTGATCTGGTTATTAACGTGATGTTTTTGCTGTTGTAGCCGGAGATGGGCGAAGTCTACGATGTCGAGACACAGGAAGGCGACGTGATAGTGCTAGGGACGGACGGACTGTACGTTGCTGGTCTATTCCTTGTGTGAGCATGGAATACGTTGACGATGTTTTATTTTTTTTTGGTACTACGCGGCAGCTTTGATAATTTATTTCCAAAGCAAATTGCAAGTCTCTTGGACACGGTATTGCCATTTACGCCAGAGCTTGACTTGCACAGTATGAAGAAGGTCGCGTCGTGTATCGCTCACACTGCGCACGAGGCTGCTAAATGTACTAAGATGGAGACCCGTTTGCGGTCGCAGCGCACTAGGCAGGCTATGAGTATCGTGGTGGCAAGATGGATGACATCACTGTCGTCACGAGCTTGGTGACGTCAGCTTGAGGATTATGGTGCTCTGAAGCATTTATCGAGGCTCTTTGTCCGGAAGAGCTGACGATTGCAGCACCCGCACGTAGTGAGACTAGTACAGAAGAAAGTGACCCGGCCGTTGTCTGTTCAGTAATGGTTTTTGCAGATGTCGAGAAGGTGCGTGCTTTGAACTGACGACGTGCCAGTTGCAACTCTTATTTGCAGGCTCAAAAATATGAACGTTGTTTACAAGAGGACAAATTTTCACCGTGTTGCGTATAGCTTACAAGAAGCAAATGAATGTCATCTACAGTATGTAGTTACAAACACATCAAGATCTCGTACAGCCTGAAGCCGCTCAAGACGAAGACACGCAACGCATGGAAATATACTCTTTGAGCTGCCATATCATATGTATGACTTGTGATAGTAAAATAATCGCCTGTGCGGAAGTACTATTTTGCACGAATGATACGTAAGCCACACCATTAAACGATCTTGCAGGAAAGCAAGCCGAACTGACTGTGAATTCTGAGTATAGATTTTAAGAATCCATTCTTTTTTGCGACCACCCATTATACTCAATTTTACATTGTCAATGAATTCACTTTACATTTTCCAAGATAAACGATATTAAGTTTTACAGGTATTCAATTTAATGGCCCCCTCTCATCGCATTGACCAACCAGTTCAAGAAACGCCACGTCAAAGCGCATCTTCTCGACGCCATTGCGTGTCTGTCACGTCGATTGAAGTCTCCAGCATAGGCTCATCGTGTAGCTCGCCGTCTAAACATTCATCTGTAGCTAAAAAGTACTCTCTACAACCTCTTGAATCTTTTCAATTATGTCGATTCATTTCAAGTTCAAGTCGGCCAAGGAATTTGATACCGTGACGTTTCCAGGCGCTGTCATTCGTGTTTTAGACCTGAAAAAAGCTATTGTCGAGAAGAAGAAATTAGCTAAAGGACTGGACTTTGATCTCGTAATCACTGACGCTCAGAACGGCAAAATTTATGACGATGAGAACACGCAATTGCCTCGAAATACAAGCGTCACCGTGAAACGTATTCCTAGCAAACAACCAGGTAGTGGATTACTTGCTCGTATGAAGCATGAAGCGGCTATTGCTGCAGCCACTGCAGCAGCTGCAGCAATTCAAATGTCACCACCAGTCGCAGCAATGGTCGGTCCATCGCCAGTAGGACCTACCCCAACTTTGCCGTACGTGGCTACATATATGCTACTTGGGAATAATTTATTATAGAGAGAGAGGAGAGCTTTTTACTGACTCACTTTTTGGGTAATGACTTCAATAATTACTTTTTTTGCTTACAGAATGGCTACACTTTCGTTGAATACGGACAATGTAGCTGCAGGTGCACAGACAATGGAAGATGAAATGGCTGCATTGCAGTCTATTCATGAACAAGCAGAAGATATACGTGGATCCAGATTAGGAAATAAGACATGGACAGCTTCCAGTGGCAGCAACGCCAATAATGTAATGAACTACTACTCGGCCAATGGACCAAGTGGAGAAGGGACAAGCGGACGAGGAAATGGAGGTGCTGGCGGACGAGGATTTGGCCGAGGCGGACGCGGTGGAGACTTTGGCGGTCGAGGAGGAGTGACGAGTGGAAGAGGCGGAGGACGTGGCACAGGACCTGGAGCCTCTGGTGGTCCCAACTTGTTAGGCGACCCGCCGTCCAACTATGTGTGCTATCGATGTGGCACGCCCGGCCATTACATCCAAAATTGCCCTACGAATGGGGATCCGGAGTTTGACCAGCACCGTGTGAAAAAGAAAACTGGCATTCCCAAGTCTTTCATGAAGGCCGTGAACGATCCTAGCGAAATTCCCGTAGGTGCGGGCAAAACGGTAGTGAATGCGCCATGGGGCGGGCTAGCTGTGATAGAACCACAGAATAAAAACTTCTCTAAATTAATGGCCCGGTCGGGCGGCTCGGCCACCTTGGATCAATTCATCTCGAATCCACCCGAGCATTTGGCATGTCCCCTTTGCAGACGGCTCATGAACGACGCTGTGCTTATTCCGTGCTGCCAAGAGGTAAGCACCGACGGCCATGTTCCTGTCCTTTGCACTAATGTGGTTGTCTGTGGTGACTAACATTCTGTATGCGTGCCAGTCCACATGTGATGAGTGCCTTCGCAGTGCGCTGATTGAGCACAAGCTTACATGTCCGTTGTGCAACACAAACAACATGTCGCCTGAGAAGCTACTGCCGAACAAAGTGCTACGTACTTCAGTGGACGAGTTTTTGAGGCGTGCACGTACCGAGCAACAAGAGCGGGAACAGTTAGTTAAGGAAGCTGAGGAGAAGGCGCTGGCTAAACAGAAAGCCGCAGAACAAACTGCAAACTCAGGTGCGCGTCGCTCTGGCGACAGTGCAGATGCTACTCTGGAAATCAAGAAGGGTAAGAAAGGTGACGGTGAGGAAGAAGAAGAGGATGAGTTTGGTGGCGACATTTTTGGCGATGGGGACGAGAACGAAGATGCTTCTTCACCGCAAAAATCAGCTACGCCTTTGTCAGTGTCTCCCCCACAGCCTCTGCATCCTCCCCCACTTCCTAAAGACGATAAGGTTGCAGCTAAAGTGGGCGAAGTTACCGATGGCCCGTCGCGGCAGACAAGCGATGCGTCGTCTAATGGTGGTGGCCAATCAACCGAAAACGTAGACAAGAGCTCACCCAGCCTAGGACCGCAAGGCTTGCCTTCTAGTCAAGGGCCTCCTGTTCACAAAATGCCGTGGGGCCCCGACGGCCCTCGTGGTCCCCCATTGGGCTTCAATGCTCCCCATGGTCCGTGGTTTGATGGACCTCCCCGTGGGCAACCTAGACCATGGTTTGATGGTCCGCCTGGACCGTGGTTTGATGGTCCATTCCCAGGGCCTGGTGGGCCCCGTGGCGCCATGAAGGGTGGTCGCGGTGGTGGCCGAGGCCGCGGGGGCCGTGGAATGCCGCCTGCGGGATACTTTGGTGGTCCTGGGCCCGATTACTTTGGGCCTCCACCTGGACACCCAGACTACTTTGGACCTCCACCGCCGTGGTTTGATGGACCGATGCCGCCATTTGGAGGCCGTGGAGGAGATCGCTGGTCTCGTGGTGGTCGCGATGATGACCGACGCCGCGACCGCTCTACTTCTCGTGACAGGGATCGGTCACGTACACGGGGCCGCTCGACTGGCCGTGATGGAACGAGTGAGCGCGATCATCGCGGTGGTGACGGGAAGGATCAACAGGGATCGCGTCGCGGTGACGGGAAGGAATCGCGAGGAGCACGCAGCGGTAACCGAGAACGCAGCAAGCGTAGTCGGAGCCGTAGTCGCAAGGCGGCACGTAGCCGTAGCAATTCTCGCTCTAGGCACGACAAAAAGACTCGTGAACATGCAAGCTCCTCGCGTGCATCTTCCTCTCGCCGGTCACGCAGTACAAGTCGCAACCGCCATCATCGCGAGCACAAAAGCGGCAGCAGTCGCGATGACATTAATAGAGACTCCAATAAGGACGTAACCAAAAACACCAACAAAGTCGCAAACAGAGGTACCCATAAGGACGCCAGCAAAGACGCCAGGAAGGAGGACGCCAGCAAGGACTTCAGGAAGGAGGACGCCGGCAAGGACGTCAGGAAGGACTATAACAGGGACACCACGAGGGACTCTAACAAGGACACCACGAGGGACTCTAACAAGGACACTAGGAAGGACTCTAACAAGGACACCAGGAAGGACTCTAACAAGGACACCAGGAAGGACTCTAACAAAGACGCTAGAAAGGACTCTAACAAGGATGCTAGGAAGGACTCTAACAAGGATGCTAGGAAGGACTCTAACAAGGATGCTAGGAAGGACTCTTACAAGAATGCTAAGAAGGACTTTAACAAGGACTCCAGCAGAGACTCTAGTGATAAGGACAGGATGCCAAAAGAAGAGAAGAAGAAACAAGAAAGCACGGTTAAGGACGTCAAGCTGGATCAGGTTGCGGCGCCTGCTATTGACCTTGACTTTTTGGCTGAACCGATGGATGACGATATGCTAAGTGACAATGAGACTCCCCGCTCGACGACTCCTATAACGCTGGGCCGTAAGAAAAGTGATGAAAGTATGACACGCAAAGATTCCAAGACTAATGATGATAAGAGATCTTGTGGTGGTGGCTCAGATGAAAAAAAAGGTGATGGTCGCAATGACAGCCGCTCCTCGTCTCGAAAGCATGACACAGCTCTTAGTCGCACCGATCGCGAACGCGATCGCGATCGTGGCTCGACGTCAAAAAAACGAGAGGGTTCCTCATCTCGAAGTCGTCGTAGTCGCTCGCGCTCGCATTCCCGTCGTGGGTCATCTCGAGAATCGTCTCGGCGACGTACGGAGTCATCGAGGAAGCGCGGAGAGGACAAGAGTTCATCCTTATCTCGTGCGAAAGATCGCAGTAACGGTGGAAACCGCGACCGTGATGAAGACAGAGGCAACCGCGACCGAGGCAATCGCGATCGAGGACGTGATCGCGACCGTATTCGTGACCGCGATCGCGATCGTATGTGTGAAAAAGACCGACCCCGTGATCGCGAGAAAACCCAAGATCGAGAACGGGATCGTCCTCGTGACCGCAAAGAACGTGAAGGAAAGCGTAAACGCGATGCTGCAAACGACGACACGACCGTCGGGGGTGATCGGAAACGACGTCGCAGTGCTGAGAAGGAACGCGAGCGTCGTAGCGAGAAAAGCTCGGGTGGCGGAGGCAGTGGACGCGTAGTTACGACAACGCCCGGATCTTCTCGTGGCTCACGCGGTGGTAGAAATCGTCGTCGTGGAGGTGGCGGTGGTGGTGGCGGCGGCGGTGGTGGTGGTGGCGCTGCAAGTGGTGATGGTGATAAGCGACGGATTGAGGTGGAGGGCGAAAGAAGAAGTGGTGGAAATGACCGAAAGAAGCCCTCTCGAAAGAAAAGCGATGATCGTGGAGGCAAGGGATCCGGCGAGCCGCAGGCCAAAAAGCGATCGGTTTTGGAACGACTTGGACCCAAGCTTTAACAATGAGAGCAGGTTAACATCTGAATATACCAAGCACGAAAGGCTTGTCAGGTGCTGTTGTTGACTGTACGTTTTGCTCGCTATCGATATCCGAATATCTACTGAGCTTTAGAAAGAGTGGACGCCTCAAGTTCCAAGACAGTCGATATTGCACACTCGATCGTTCGACTTGCCTTTTGCGACATAATCAGCCATTCATTCCCCACATCTTTTGATTTCTCGTGTGATTGATCTGCTCCCTTGTATTCAAGTCTCGATTCTTCCTTGTACTTCCTCTTGATTGCGTACGGCTGGACTTCTGACAACTTGTAGATCAGGAGATTGACGTTCTAATTTACCGTGTACATGTAATACATGTACCATATCGCATATATTGACTGCTAAGTTTGCGAGCACGCGTGTGCCACGGAGGCAACCTTTACCAGTCCAGACTCAATTCTATGGGTGCTTCGTCGTCTAAAGGCAATAGACACGGGCGAAATACATCGGGTGGATGCTTGAAGTTGACTGTACGGCTGAAAAAACGGCTGCAAATGCTTTGTCTACTGCTGCTCCTCATGCTGTGTGTACCGATCGCCGAGCACTCGCTCGTGTCGTAACACGATTCGATGGGACTAGTTCTGGGTCCAAGGTGCGTTTTGCCCGTGACGTTCTTGATGCACACTGCGCAGAATAGTCGCTTCTGGGCTCGACCGGACTTGTTTAGTCTGAAAATTTGGTGCTTCTCAGAGCACTCTTTACAGACAGTCTAGCCAAGTTTCATCAAACGGGCGTGAGTGCCGTCACCCACCACAAACACGTTTGGCAAGTCGTGCAGTTAACGTACCTGGTGACAGCCTAAACAAAGAGGATAGGAGCCCAGCTTTGGCTTTCGCGCGCAGACGTGACAGACCATGCTTCACTCAGACAAGACAGATCAAACGTTAGCTTTGTGTTGAGATAGCGATGCGTACATGGCAAGCAGTCATAACGCTACCTTGAGGGCAACCACTGGTGGCAGTCGGCTTTGTCCATGAGCGCACTGAATTTCTTTGCATGGCCACCTCGGGGACTGAGAACAACATGGAGCCAGGTATTGGCAGTTGTGAAATGGATGGCTTTTGCTGGATCGGAACCAAAGTTGGATATCGATCCCCAGAGAAATATCTCCGTCTTGTTGGTACGTTTGTGACGACGGTACAAGTAGCACGATGCTGTATTCTGACGTAGCATTCCAGGAGTAGCTGGCCACTCGGGTCTTTCAATCGACTGAAGTGTATGGTAGGTGAGTTCGTGGCCATGGGCATCAGTTGTAGTGCCCATCCGTTCGTAGGTCAGTACGTCTCGGTCTCGTAGTAATCCCCATACACACCTCGTGGCGAACCACTTGATACCGGCAAAGCGGAACGGGTCATCCGATGAGCGTCGCTCGTGCGCGTTGAGTACCGATCCGTCTTTGAGGTCATAGCCTAAAAGCACGGTGGTGGTGCGGAAATCATTCGTCGTGTCACAGTAAAGTCCACCCATGACGTCTTCCAGGCGACCGTCAATCAGACCTGTGCCGACCATAACGACTATCGACTGGTTTGTTGATCCAGATATGTTGTTGAAGACGCTAACCTCTTTTTGGCGCTTGACGAACGCCCACTGCTGTGAGTCTATGTTCTTTGGATTGAACTTGGCTCGCTCGGCCACCGTGCCCTGCAAAAACTTCTTTGTGGCACAATCGTACAGCGCGCGATCCCCGGGCGTGAGTTTAATCTGCGGACAGCGATCCAGGCCAAACGTGGTCATTTGACTGTGCCACGCTTTTCACTGTATGCGTAGCAGCAAAATAGTGTAGTGAGCGTTTCCGTCGTGGGACCCTTTTTAAGTGTCAAGTCCTGATTGTTTTATCGTTGAGCTACGTGATTTCGCATCAAGCACGAGCGCTTACCACTCAGAAAACGGCTTACATCGTAGCGTGCCTGGCTCTACAAGGGCGATGGACGTTACAGTGGTCCATCGAACTCCTTCACCATCAAACTCGGTGCACGTTCGTTGCGGCACGCTAATCAGCTGACTCAAAGGCAAAAGAGCACACAACGTAATTTGCAGCGTGAAAGCATATATGCAATGGCACTAAACTCCCCGAAGATACCTTCCAGCTGAAAGCGTAATACCGTTATCGCTGCGTCACTAACCGTGTTCACCACCTATTGCTTGAACATCAACAGCACTCTAGTAGTGGTGCAGTAGCTGTCCAGACAATCTACCAGTAGATGTTGTTGCTAGTACCATAGAGCTCACGTGTGAACTACAGTCAGAATGTTCTTGCTATTGTAAAATTTCGAGGGGACTAGCCAAGGTGCGTTTTGCCCGTGACTTTCTTGCAAAAGTGCGCAGAACAGTCACTTCTTGGATCGGCGCAACCCAGAGCACTCTACACAGACAGTCTAGCCAAGTATCATCAAACGGGCATCATCAACGCAAACACGTTTGACAAGTAGTGCAGTAAAAGCGCCTAGGACAGACTAAACAAAGAGGATAGGAGCCCAGCTTTGGCTTTCGCGCGCAGACGTGACAGACCATGCTTCACTCAGACATAGCGATGCGTACATGGCAAGCAGTCGTAACGTTACCTCGAGGGCAACCACTGGTGGCAGTCGGCTTCGTCCATGAGCGCACTGAATTTCTTTGCATGGCCACCTCGGGGACTGAGAACAACATGGAGCCAGGTATTGGCAGTTGTGAAATGGATGGCTTTTGCTGGATCGGAACCAAAGTTGGATATCGATCCCCAGAGAAATATCTCCGTCTTGTTGGTACGTTTGTGACGACGGTACAAGTAGCACGATGCTGTATTCTGACGTAGCATTCCAGGAGTAGCTGGCCACTCGGGTCTTTCAATCGACTGAAGTGTATGGTAGGTGAGTTCGTGGCCATGGGCATCAGTTGTAGTGCCCATCCGTTCGTAGGTCAGTACGTCTCGGTCTCGTAGTAATCCCCATACACACCTCGTGGCGAGTCACTTGATACCGGCAAAGCGAACGGGTCATCCGATGAGCGTCGCTCGTGCGTGATAAGTACAAATCTCATAGCCCAAATCACGTGGTTGACGGAAGTCATCAATCGTGTCACACTAGGATCCATCAATGACGAACCTTGCGATTCGCGACTGCCGATGCTGTAATAGCATTTGTATGACGGTTCCTTTCGCAACTCTGCCTTTTCGAGCTGACGACATCAGCTCATCGCCGGCCAAGCATCAGCTTGACAATGGCCGTCATTGAGCCATCGATAGAGTTGGCAAAGACTTGGCAAAGAGGTTTATACATTTTATCCTCCTAGTACGTAGACGAAGTAAAAAAAGTGGAAGCGCTCTTCCAGGGTCATCAGAATGAGCACCAGTTGTGAACCTCTGGTTATGTCCTTAGACGCTGATGAGATTCTTAGATGATCTCATCATCTAAGGACATAATCAGAGGTTCACAACTTGTCGTGTGCATTTTATCTCACCGCAACCGCTGGGATGCTGCACAAAGCGGCCCCCAACGTTTTTCTGAGTTCAACCACATCTTCTCCAATTTTCCTGCATCCTCGAGCTTGCTTTGCTCCTTATCCACAACATTTCACCCAACTACCAACACTACCATTTCAAGCGAATCCTAATAACATGAAAATGCAGTCGTTACAGGATTCAACAGTTGCCCAAAAGTGAAGAAAAGGTCGTAGCATACTACTCTTTCGTCGTACGATCCAACTTTTAGTGACATTGACACGAGTGGAACTCGAGGTCTTCAACACACGTTTGCGAGCATCATCTTTCGTACTACCAATGAAATGTACCAATTGACTGTCGAGGCAGTGTTTCATTTACAATGAGACTGAAATCAGTGACAACTCATGCTTATTGCTGCCCGAAAAAGTAGCGTATAGCAACGAGGAGAAGTAAAATGCATGACGATACCCCCCCCCCTTTTTAATTCGTCGAGAACTCATTTCCTAATGTTGGAGCATTGTGCTTGAAGCTCTGGGGAGCAAAAGCAGTCTCATTACGATTTCAGCAGGTGCTGCATCTGCTTTTCTTCCGCAAACATTCATGCGTAGTCTTCTCGTTGAATGCATTGTACACACATTGGCGGAAATAGACAGTGGTAGCGATGGTCATGAATCGAATACAGATACAACTGCTAGCAAATCCTTGGTCACAGAAAGACGCTGCCTCACGCAGGCCATGTACGGTCACTAGTGTGTGCGAGAAGAGGAATCTTTCTTTTCTTTGTCCAAGTGAGCTCTGTATATGCATCTTATGTATTCGCTAGAGATTGTGTTCCGTAGTGCAAATCACGACATTTTTAAACTCGAAAAAGCTGCTGATGGATGGACAAGGATGTTGTTTTAAGGCTTCGAATTTGAACATAGACTTGTACGTATGATTCCGTCCGTTCCGACCGGAGCTCTCTGCATGGCAGGGATGGCTTGTTTGGGACAGCCGGTTTGGTACCCGGCTTCACTTCAAAGGCACCACCTGCTCATTTGGCCGTCTAGTTTATGATAATGATGTAAGCGGTTGATTGTTCGAATATCGAGTGTACTCGACGTTTTGCAACTGCAGGGGCCTGTGCTCTACCGCCTTAAAAAATCTCCCTCCTGCGCTTGTCGTAAGCTTTCTTGCTGATCTTCTTCTTCACTATCCGTGAGGACCAGCTCGTCGACTAGTTCTTTCAAAAACGGGTGTTTGTCCTTCAAAGCGGCGACATCCCAGTAGCCTCGTCGTGCCAAATACTCAACGAATCCTATCTTGCCCATACAGATATTCTTACAGTTGGCTGCCAGCCACTTGGCCACGTCGTCGTGTCCTGCATTGATGGCGTTCACCACCGCCGACTGAGAACATCCTTCATCTCGATGTGCATACAACCACTGGATCACGTCCAAGTGTCCGTACGTTGCGGCATTGTCGATAGCGTAGTGGGTGGCTCCTTCCTTTCGATTGAAATGCAGCCACTGCACCACCTCCAAGTGGCCGAGTTGCGCTGCAAAGTCAATGGCGTTGGTAGTGCAGCCCTCTGTTCGGTTCTTATGCAGCCACTGAACGATCTTTAAGTGGCCGTTACAGGCTGCCATGTCCATGGCGTCCGTCGTACAGCCCTCGCGACGGTTCGTGTGTAGCCATTGCACCACCTCCAAGTGGCCAAACTCAGCGGCTGAATCCATGGCCTCTTGACAGCAGCGCTGGAACTTCTTCGGATTGCGTCGACTTACCCGTTGTACGAGGTGCAAGTGTCCAGCTAATGCTGCACGCATTAAAGTCCACTTGGGGGATAAGTCCAGGAATGCGTTAACGTGCTCGAGCACGAGGTCGTTGGCGGCGTCGAAGCGGTCACATACGGCTAACACCGCCGGAGAGATGGCCAGGTCCGTCATTGATCGATTTGTTATGTTAGTTATTGGTCTACAAGTAAAATGACGTGAATGTGTCCAACCCCGGAGGGTTGTTACATGGTTCTACTTAGTAGAACCTCCATGGCTGCAGTTACTTACGTCTGCGACGAATTCCTAGGCTTCAACGAAAACTGCCGTTATTTTTTGTCCTTCCAACTGTTTTGTTTTTACTAATATTTCGAGAAGGCGACATTTTGATTCTCCATTGTCTTTATATGCCCTTTTAAAAAAACGACCTAAAAAGTAGAAGTGATATCCACAAAAACAAGCCGAAAAGATACAATTGACAAATTGGTTCGAGATGAAGCGTTAACGACAAAGTTTTGAGTACTTGCCCCGGGTACTGACCACAGTGAGAAAAAGCTGGTTCACTGACCACAAAAGACTGGCTTGTATTGTTCTATCATTTCCTTACCGCGTGGAGATCCAAGCAGTACGTGACGTGCCGGTTGACAACGGAGCACGCTCTTCCGCTAGAAAAAACTCGGTGCCGAATATGCGCGATCAATAGGACAGCGGTGTATCCTACAAAAAGAAGGTTTTCTAATGCTATTCAAATATATTTGAGTATGAAATTACGAAATCTCTGGCCGTAAACACAAGCAATGGCTACGTCATATAGGGACATATTCCATGACGATGCATATTCGACTGATAGTTAGTTCTCTACCCGATAAAATGCCGGGAACGATGATAGAAATGTTCGAAACCGGCGCTATATCACTAACACGGCTGTCGGCTAGTGACTTTATTCCGTAGTGGGCTGACGTTTCTGTTAGTGACGATTGGCTCACGGAGTATATAACTGATATATGCATGTATTGTACGTATAATGGCATTGCCATTGGAAAACAGCCCTTTTTTACGATGCTAAAGGCGAGCTGCTTTATCCTGACTGTCCCAGAAAGTCTGAACTTGATTATGGCCCGCTCGGTAAAAATGTTGACCAGTTGGTGTTCATATGTTGGTTGGTTAGCATTTGTCTATATATTTCTACATCATTCTAAAAAATTTGTATGAAAATAGCGATAATAGACGTCGAGTTTTTATTTTGCGTTTCCAGAGATGACACAACACCATGTTTGCTGTTTGTAAAGCTGCAATATAAAATGGTGATAAGGAAGCTTTTCTTGTTTGCTAAACTCGTTTGCTGTGAGACGAAACCTTCATCACCTCTTTCACCACTTGTGACACATTCAAGACAGCCATTACACCTGATACACGAGTATTTTTTTGCTCCTTCGTTTAATGGTGCTAAACATTCTCGTCAGTAAACATACGCTGAAGTTTGTTTGGACGGGGTCGAGAAACGTAACTTCAGCAAAGTCGTGTTGTTGAACCTTATGAATGAAATTTGAGATTCAAATCATACGCAGTGTCGCTTTTCAAGTTTTTTATAAGACCTATGAGTCGACCTCAATATAGAATCCAGCAAAACCGGGTCTTTACAACTGAGGACAAGGCCACAAAGATGAAGTGCCTTATCAATTGACCTAAATCAGCAAAACCAAAAGTTGAACTGCCCTTCAGTCGCCAGTGGAGCAATTTACTCTACGGTGAGCATTTGGGTTTCCATTCTTACTAACAGCATTTAAGGAGTCTTACTAAAGTATTGACAATAGAATTTATAATTACGTGTAAGCAATAAGTCTACGATGCAGCTCAAGCTTAACTACTTTTGCTCGGTTGTCCGCACCATTTGCTGCAGCATGTCTTTAGCATAACGCAAGCGTTTACTTAAATCTGGTCGCTCTGACGTGAGAATAACTCTGGAGGACGAGAACACGGCCAGGTTACCATCGCGGTTCAGATACGTTGCAACGCGAGCATTTACAGATAGCATAAGCTTCGACTTGTCAAAGAAGTTAAACTGAATTGCCCCGTTGGAGAGTTGAAACAGCACCGCGTGACGAGTCTTGACCCACTTCGTGACGAACACCATCGATTGAGCCACTCCATCGCCATTGCTGCTTCCAATTGCACTGGTATCCGTGTTAGCTTCGCGAGACAACCCGTAAGATTGTGCAAGCTGACTTTCAAGAATATCTGCTTCGTCGTTCTCTACGCGAGCGTCCACCAAATAGCCTTTAAAGTGACCTAACAGTGTCACCTTCTTGCTGAGCACCGGATCGTAATCATCTGTGGTGTAGCGGACCCGAGCTTCTGGGCTTGCACTATGACTGCTTTGGCGCTCAATGTACTCAAAAACTCGGCCGTCTGCTGATGAAATCATTTTGGTGGAGTCATTGAAGTACACACCCGATTCACCATTCGAAAGCATGTAGCCAATACCATATTTGGATGTGTAATCCACCCACTGAGATATCCACAAGGTGGCAGGAATGAGCGGACAGATCTCGTCAGCCTCAGCGCGGACCTCCATCACTCTCTGAGCTGCAGCAACGATTGTAGCAGCAGATGACGATTCACTCAACCTCTTGTCGTCATCGTCTCCGCTGCGACTGTGTTCTTGCAAAAAAAAGAATCGTGATAGTGACTTGTATGCGAACTCCAACACGTTAGGAAAGGCAGCCGAAGGGGTGTCAACTGCCTCCGTGTGCAGCGATTTCACTGCAATGCTGCTGCTAGCTGCCAAATTTCGTTTTGTCGAGCTTGAGAACCCTGATGTCCTTCCAAAGCCGTCGCGCTTATGCGCAGGAGGCAGCGGCTGCGTCAATGAGGGCGACGCCCCAGGATCAGAAGCGCGTTGAGTGTGAGCGTTGATATCTCGTGTCCTAAGCGGATACTTCTTTGATGCAGCAGGCGGCGAGATTATTACTCCAGTCGATCTCGCAAGGCGTTCACTGTCACTGTGGTGACTAGCAAACGACTGGATTTTGCACGAAGGTGGTGTTGCAAGTAATGCAGTTCTTGGCAGTGTTCTTGGTACAAATTCATCAGCCAAAAACGGGTGAGTCAAAATCTGCTTTAATGATGGTCGTGCGTCAGGATCATTGCGCAGGATACTGCGAACAAGCGATTGCGCCGACCGTGAAATGTGCGCTGTCTCTGGAAAGTCGTACTTGTTGGCACGGATACGCTTATATGTGGCCTTGACATCGTCTGTTTCGAAAGGAGGCCGTCCCACAAGAAGCGTATACATGACAACACCAGTAGACCAGATGTCGACTTCAAAACTGTGTCCGTCGCCACGCTGTCCGCTCAAAATTTCAGGCGCAATATAGTTTGGCGTCCCACACATGGTGCGCTTGCGATCTTCAAGGTTTTCAAGTCGAGTAGCAAGTCCAAAGTCTCCAATTTTGAGTCGCATGTCTGATGTGAGAAACAAATTCCCCAGCTTTAGGTCGCGATGAATCACTAACTTTTCATGGAGATACGCCAGTCCCTCCACGAGCTGGCGCATGTAAAACTTTACTTCGCTCTCAGACAAACGTTTTCTCCGCCGCATCAAGTCCAGCATGGACTGGTTGCGACACAATTCCAACACAATGTAGGCATTCTCCGAGTCTTCAAAGAAATGTTCAAACTGTACAATTTGCGGGTGATGCAGTGACTTGTGAATCTTGATCTCCGACGTAAACTACAAACGATAAAAAGTACCGAGAAAGTACACATCATAGAAAACGACAAAATGTATCAGCGTCTTGTCAGCCTTTATATCTGTCTCCTGCTTGCATGTTTCTCACTTTTTGCTTGGTCTTCACTTTAACTAGCGAGCGTTTAGCCACCACTTTGGCCGCAAATATCTTCCCTGTCTGTTCGCATTTCAACTCATAGCAACGGGCGAATCCTCCCTACACAATAAGTCAGCACCGATTCCTAGTTTGAAGCCTATCCCAATCACAACAGCATCCCACCTTGCCCAAAAACTTGCCCTTGACGTATGTCCGAGTCTTGACATAGCCACGAGCATCGAGATAAGCCTCTAGGATCTTATCGGGCACGACCGGCTGCGGCGTCGGCTCCTTTTTCTTCTTTTCCACAGCCGCTGCTGGTGGTGGTGCGGCCTCAATTGGTCGCTCCATTTCAGCGTTAATATTTTGATTGCATCTCGGTTCTAAGGCAGGAAGCACGTGGCCAGGACTGGCTGAGCCTCGACGACTTTGCACGAGCTTAAATCGGTCGCTGTCGTACACTCGTTGAGCCGCATCGTTGCTACTACGTCGCTTGGCACGCATGACAACCGACGTAGGTAGATTTTTACTGACCATTAAGTTCTCATCACCTTTAGCCAACATCTCCGTCGTGTCGTGTGTCTGCATCGTCATAATTGTCCGTCGAAGGCCGGTTTTTCCGAGATTTTTAAAACCGAATTTAAAAGTTCTGTGGATTGATATAATTCTCACATTTGTACGATGAAAATAGTAGTCAAAAAGTTTATAATACGTTTAGAAATACTATGGATATTACCCGGTAGTCATGGACATTGGTTTCCAAATGGAGTTGAATCAGCTTTGATTCCGTAACTTTATTGATGGGCACCATGCTTGGTTTAGATTTCGTCAGCGACGTCAAGGCTAATAGGTGCATGCTGATGACATCGCACCATGTGGTCCAGTTCAAGGTGTTCGCCAGCCGGTATAATACGACATAACCACACTAACTAGAGACTGTACTAGAGTCTAATTAGTGTGGGCTACCGTTGAGTGCAGCCCGAGGACACTTAAGCTAACATCTTAGGCCACGAACATGTACTTGGCTCGGGTTCGTTGAGGACTATGTAGTCCGAGGAAATAGAAGAACTCTAGGAGAAATTGCATGCCCGCATCAATTTTCTTACATAGCAAACGCCAGGATCCGTCATCAACGGAGAGACTCCAAATTAAACGAACTCCGGCGTTACTGAAGGGCGTGGGTGCTTCTTTTACCGTACTCCTAAGGTGGATTTTGGTCAAATTGCAACAGTGGGGTAGCGGCATATACAAGCCACTTTTGGCGGAACCAACTCTTACAAAAGCCGCATTTCACTCAGAAACAATTGTTTAGCACATATTCATACCGCTTGGACCAGATTGTTAACAACATGAGCGACAAACTTTCGCCAAATCGGTTCCGGCGACCGTCCTGCATTATCCGTTACGATTGTGTCGATATTTCCAACCGCTCTCTTGTAGTTTCACTAAGATTGTCAAGAGTTATTTTGCGTTCTGGCTTACGTACTACTGAACAAACCAGTAGGTTGCTGTGCATAATCATCTACTATCCAGAATCGCAGCAGCTGACATGTTGTCTTGCAATATTCTTTTGACCATCAGAATGATTTGTAATACGACTGCTAGAACATGCGGTAACGCCAAATACCAAAGTATATGTATGTTAACGCGTTACGCGAGCCGTCTTGCCACCAAAGTGGCTCAACTTCCGCATGCGTCGGGTTATCTCTCTTCTCTACATTTCTCTCTACTCTCGCCAGAGTCCATTAAGCGGCGCGCGCTATATGCGCCCCGCTGAAGGCCGTCCAGGCTGCACGAACCTTTGCACACCGGCAAAGGAGGAGCAGGTCTGGGGTCAGTCGACGGCAATGTCCAGCGGTAGGTTTCTTGCTTGGATCCCTTAAATGTCTATCTTGTCAACAGGTCTTACCCAGGGAGGGTCTCTTGTTGCTTGCACCGTGGAACAAAGGATTATGCGAGCGTACCTAAGTGAAGATGCCGGGACTTCGGGACTTCGGGCGTCGCGGCGTACATCGTGGCGGCTTGACTGGCGGCTGGGGGTGAGAGCGGCAAGAGAGAGGTGTGTAGAGGGAGAGAGGCCCGTCCTGAACTGACGGATACCGCGAAGCATCCGTCCAAGGCCCAACTAGCTTCCGGGAGGGCGTTACCCCAACCCGACCAGGATAAATACCAGAGTATTATGCCAAAAACTAGCTGTTTCTGGCACATGTTCCAGCATCACGAAAAGTCTGCGACAGTCGCTCAGAAGATCCCGACTTTTAAAATTCTTTGCTGGATAGCGTTACTGATTCTACAGGCCTGTGTACTCATCGTTTTAGGTACTTTCTCTATAGAGCAATGATTGCGCGTGACGAGAATGTAACAACCAATCGCGCTATTCTCGCTATGCCTACACAAGGTGCAATGCTGTTGCATCTTTGCTTCAACGCCACGCGTTTCTAAGCGGATGAAGACTTTTGGAGTAGATGGCGAATAATAAGAAACGAAAATGAGAGTCTGCATTGCCTTCTATTACATCCAAGGAAGTACAAGATCAATCTGCAACTCACATTATGTTTGCAGATTGATCTTGTACTTCCTTGCTAAATTGTTTGTACATTTGCGAAATGATAAGAAGGTAGGCATGGCTCAGTACTAACCTTGTCGAAGGTAAATTGGCGTCTGACGTCGTATGCGTAATAGAACATGAGCATGCTATACTGGAGCAATCGTCACTGTAATAGCCGTCGACACAATTGATAAAATCCGCCAAGATACGTTCCATGCAATTAGCAGTTCGTGATACAATGGTTGAAGTCGTACTGCAATAATTCTATAAAAGATGGAGCCCTACAAGTCAATCAGAATCTACTATATATCTTTACGCTCATCAAAGATGACATTTTTCCAATGATCTCTTTTGTTTTATTGGTCCAAACGCTCATTTAAACAAGCTGGCGGAAATACTGCCACAGTAAGCCACTGCTTACTGTCTTATTGTCGTTCTACTAAGCACGACCATAAGGCAACAAGAATTCATTGCGCAATTTCAACGTCGAAGACAGCAAAACTCTACATCGCCCAGCAGCAATTACAAGAGATGCAGCCCCGGCGACATGTGGCTTTTCAAGTACAGAAGTAGATCTAAGTGTCGAAACAGCGAAATCGACGCATGCAAGCCATTGCCCCGCCACAATTGCAAACTGTGGGCCCCGCTACTGCAAAAGCACCGTAGCCCCAGAAGATAGCAGGGATAAGGTACAATTTGAGTTTCAAAGCTGTAAATAGCTGCGTTTCTACCGTTTGTCAGCAATTTCGGTTTGCCTTCCTGTTTGTACTGGCAGGCACATACGATTAAAAAGATGCAAATGTTAAAGACTTCTTGAACATTGAAGTAAGCGAAAGTTGTGAAATTGTTTGTGTTATGGAACGGTTGACCATTCATACTTGCAAACACAAACCATCCAGATACGATGTTACCACCATCAACTAATGGTAATGTAAGCATCCATACGATAGTGGGGTCTGTTGCCCTCAATGGTTATATGGTGCAAAGTTAGAGTGAGCGGCTCAACCGGTCAACTCCGTAGATCTTGGTCGTGGTATTCGGGCGGCGAATTTTATAATACATATTGATAGTGTTGTCATCGAGCTCTTCGATCTCGTCGTCATCGGATTCATGAAGGCCTTCGTCTAATAAGCGGTCTAGCTCTGCCCTCAAACGCCCGAAGTCGATTCCATCATTTTCGTCCTCTTCATTCTCAACTTGCATCATAACGGTGGGATTCACTGGAACCGGAGAAGTCGATGGCAAAGACGGCTGAGGATTATTGCGTGCATTAGTCATTTCTTCTTGGGCGTAAGATCGAGATAGCGCATGGGCAAGCATACCGGATAGTGGGTCAAAATCAAAGTGATCTCGGTTTTTCGCGAAGGAGTCTAGGGACCGTTAGAACGGAATTGCAAGATCTCTCAATCATCAGCATAAGTCAATGGCTGTCAATCAGTATGTTTTTACACACCCGGTGAGGAACTATCACTGCTAAGTCTTAAGCAATAGCGTCCTGTACACCTTCAATATCTATTCTCGGATCGCACAATTGCCACCACTGCCAGCACCAATACGAACGGTGCCCAGGTCTTGATGAAACCCGTCATACTCACATATTTCCCTCGAAAAAACATCCAAAAGCAGAGCTGGACCATGTTCCAATGTTTACGCCCTGCATAGTGGGCGTGCTCCAGACACACGGCCACGTGGGAATGACAGTTGTCACAGCACAAATTGTGCATCCTCTTCTCGTACATCTTGCAGCCTACAGCCACCGCTTCATCCCACTTGGCAACAGCTTCAGGTTCCACTTTGCACTGCAAGTAGCGAGTGGGGGCACCAAAGGCAAAAGCGTCGCGGCCAATAGTGTAGGGCCCGGCAAAGTCGAAGATGACCCTAGAAATTACGATAAAAGGATCATTTATGTCCTGTTCCACCAGCAAATAGGCTCATTCGCGGCTACAGCTTACCCTTTACTATCTGCAAGACCCAAATGCCCAATAAACGGCAAAAACCATGTGAGAATTGGGATGGGAGACCACACGAGACAGAACGGGAAGCGATGCACTGACACGTCGATTGTAGCACATTGAAAGCCCCTGGAATTTCTGGAAGCAACAGATTGGCTAGAAGATAGAAGTAGGTCATCATCGTTGATAGCAAGAGATATCTCGTCGCATGGTAAAGGAGCTGTGATCATAGAAGACAAGGTCGTCGTCGTCGTCTCCGGATCCCTAATTTTGTTAAAACAGTACTATTAAAATAATTAAATACTAATATTTCGTCGAGCAAATATTATTCTACTAAAAAAGGCGCCAGAGTTTGCTTAAAAAGATTTTCATTTTATCCAATCATGTTCTCGCATTTGTCTAATCAACATCAAATTAAGGTGAAAATGCAAGACATCGGTCCTAAGTCGCTGTCTGGTTCCGTATCACATGCACTAGATTCAGTCATGACATCGCAGTCAGTGGGTCAAGAGCCTGATAGACATGATGAGGATGTTATGGAAGAAGACGAGCTGAAAAGGTGCAGTTGGCCTTCTACAACGTCCCACAAGAGCGAAGAAGAGGACGAGCACGACGGGTGGATGACTACACCGTTGTCTACAGTAGCTGGACATCGACACGTGCATATCAGATCGGAAGATATGACAGAAGAAGATGAGGTGGACGTGGAGGCTAATGTACGAGAGGCTCTACGGCTTTTGGAGGACTGTAGAGACCATGAGGATGAGGAGAGCGAGGGAGAACAGGAAGTAGAACAATGGAGAACAGGGCGAACGGAAAGTAGCTATCTGGATTTTGTCCATGAAATGATGGAGGACAGATGGACATTGGGGGATCGAGACAGACTGTATACTTCTCATTGGAGATTATCAGAAGGACAGATAGGATCGGAGAAAAAAGCGATAAAGGAGGAGGATAATAGCGAGGAAGAGAACTATAAAGAGGGAGAGGAGCAGATATCATACAAGGAAGCCTATACGACAGCCTATAAGGACAGGGGTGAGGATGAGGAGGAGAAGGGTCAGGAGCAGGAGGATGAGTGGCAGGAGGCCTACACAGCAAAAGGTCGAGTGTACTACTACAACCGACGCACACGCGAGTCATCGTGGAAAAAGTATGTGTGTGTAGTGTAGTAGGCTGCAAGCAGATGAAAGTGTTAATGTTGTTGGTGGTGGTGTAGGCCTGATCAATTCAATTCGAGCTCGAGTCAGCCGCAATCAGCGTCTGCAGCTGTTGAAGAGAAGTCGGTATTGTTATCTGCCGTTTCAACTATGGAACGCCAAGCAACTTTGTTTTGCTGCTTTTGTGGCAAGCAACAACCGTCTGATCAAATAGCTGCGCACTTTCGAGAATGCGCGACGGTGAAGTTCCACAAGCAGCGCTTGTCTCCGCTATACCTCAGCTTTGAACGTGCTCTTGGGTTAATGTCCGAGGATGCCACTCTGCGATCGATACATTATGCTTCGTCATTTCCAGATCCCACGCCTCATGGAAGACCAGGTGCTACATCGATGCAAGATAGTCTGTCGTTGCTTCGTCCCAAACGTCGCCTGTCCAGTACAAGAAAGCGGAGCTCCACCGGGCACACACCACAGAAAAAACTTGGCACCCAAGACCACGTATTTAGTACAACGGATTGTCGGTCAAAGGAGACACCTGACCAATGCACAAGGCAAGAAGTCGACCCATCTTCGGCACGCCCAGCTCCGGACATTAAAGTTGCCAAACGGGAAAAGCATACTGACGCCAAAGAACATAACTCACAGTCGACACACAGCGTTTTTGTGGCAGAATCAGCGGCACAACACACGGAGACCTGTCGGTACTGCAGCCGGGGCTTTGCTAAAGGTCGACTTGCTAAGCATGAGGTTGTTTGCCCGCGGGTGTTTGGCCACGAAGGCTTTCGGGGGCGTGGAACCCCAGCAAGCCCGCTCTCCATTTCTTGTCCGAGGAATGCCCGAGTCGGAACACCACCAAGATCTGCGGGATCCATGACAGCCAGTTTGCACAAGTCGAAGAACCATACACTGCAGCAAAGCTTTAAGAAACACCAAGCCACGCTTGTGCTCTGCCCATGTTGCCGTCGAAAGTTTGCGCCCTCGGGTGCGCAACAACATATTGCCATCTGCAAAGGGGTCCAAAACCGCCCTAGGAATCCTATCCCGTTTCTTCGGGACTATGCTATTGTCGGCTAGCTGAACTTTACTGTTTTGCGAAAGACTACTATCGATTATTGCGACTACGGTACGTGGTCATTTATTTGATAGAGATACTGATTAATGCAACATCATTGCTCAATTCTTTGATTTTTGGGCCGTGGTTCACATTTGATTTTAGAGTACAAACCTAGTTTTGGTTAGACTTCTCCAGAATCTCCAATTGAATTTCGGGTAGGTGCAACACCTTGAAGTAGACATTAACGGCATGTGCGACCTTCTTCGCCTTGAGGTAGTTTACACTCGCTTCGCCGTGCAAGTCACGCTTCTTGATAGAGCAAGTTATGACTAGTATTCCTTCCTACGACCTGTCTCTCTGAGCGTGCGTGTGGATACGGATGTCCCTCAACGTGGATTGGTGTGATTTTCCTCACCTCTCCTAACATCATAGGGAGGTGAAAGAGCATTTAACGCAGGGACTTGGTGAACAAACCCTGGCCAACCTCTTGTATTGTCCTCCTGAGCAGCATGTTGCTCAGTTAGAGCAATTTGAGGCGTTTGTGCTCGGACAGCGTTGAAACGCGTCCGAGGCAAACAGCCAAGCCACGGCTGAGTCTATCAGTAAGACTCAGGATGAGCTTTTGAGTGGGCAAGCTCGGATTGAGGCGCTTAACAGGACTGTTGAGACGCTCTCTGCCCGGTATAATCGGCCAAGGCCCATTCGGATGGACATTCCGAAGTTTAATGGGACTGCCCCACATACGATTGTACACCGGCTTTTAGCCGTAGAGCAATGCTGTATGGCGCAGCTCATCGAAGACAACACCAGGTGGTGTCGTATGCCATGTCAATTTTGCGTGGCAATGCGTCAGAGTGGGCTTGCTCTGCGCTTATGGCAAACGCTGATGCGTTTCCATCATGGGCAATCTTTTAAGTCAAAGATTCGTGCCATGTACCATCCGCCTAACAATGAAGAATTACTTCAGGCGCGCTTCTTTGGAGCACGACAGGCGAAACGATCTCTACAAGAGTATGTTCAGGAGATGCGTTCGCTGTTCGCGTCCATTAATATGGGTCCGATACCGGAACACATTAAGGTGCCTACGTTCATGAACGGAATACGGCACGGCTCCTCGTGTCAGGCCCTTTTTAGAAAGGTGCCAAAGACGATGGAAGAGGCAATTGATATTGCCATGGCTGAGGAGCAATTACAGCAGTGCCTCGGCGACAGCTTATTTTAAGCCGTCGGTCAAGAAGTCGGATGCCGCTTCAATGGAGCTGGGCATTGCAGACGTTGTCTGCTACAAGTGCGGTAAGTGAGGCAACATGATGGCTCGCTGCTAAGTCACCCAGAAAAAAGGCTCCCTACCGAAAGGAGGTGCGAAAAACCAGCGTGCACGACGCACAGGTTCAATCCCTGCCCAAGATGGGTCGGGAAATGTGGGAGCGCAGTAGGGGCGGGATGCCCTACCGTCGCGGACTCTGGAGCTACCCCTAAGTTCAGAGAGATCGGTAAAAATGGGTAGTATAGTCTTTGAGGTTCCGAAAGGTCGGGCATCAACTCTTTTGGTCTATAGCGCTCTAGTACAAGGCTACGACTGTGGTGAAGTGCTGTTTTTGCGATATGGGGACCCCAGAATCCAGTTGAATTCGGCGTATAGACCGTGGGTCAGGGAAAAGAGATCAGAGAGACAGGGGTCTCGAAGGGGAGCGACCGTTGGCGGAGAACAATCTGCAGGACCCAAAGAAGAAAAATCAGTATCAGGGTACTGGTTAACCGGTATGAAGGGAGTTGATCACGGCTCTTCATTGATCGACCCGGCCCCTCGTTGGTAGGCCTGGGTCCCCCATCGGTCAACCCGGTCCCTCGTTGGTAGACCTGGGTCCCTCTTTGGTCGACCCAGTCCCTCATCGGAAGACCTCGATCCCTCGTCGAAAGACCCGGTCCCTCATCGGTCGGCCTGGGTCCCTTGTCGTTCAGCCACTCCTGACCAGTTTACACAAGGATCAGACCAGCCGACGCAAGGAATCAGAGCTTTAGGCAAGGATAGAGTAAAGGAGTTTAAAGGATAGGACTATATTAAATACTACACAATTTGCGATCTACGCGGCACGACTCCTTCACTTAAGAAGAAGTTGCTCTAAGTTACTCACTGTTCCGGGAAGGGATATATTTTGGCCCCCGTTGAAGACAGTTGTGTAGCGAAGTTCAAGTGCGAACAAAGCTCCACGATATATTTGGCCTGTGAGCTCGTTCGAGTAGCAACACCCCCCCAAGACCCGCTATCGGAAGCGGCCTCCCTTACCTCACGGTCCGGGAGCAAAGTAAAGGTCAGGTGGTTGATACCCCTGAAACAAGAAGGAAAAGGCCAGGGATAAGCACCCTGAAGAATTTGGCTGCTAAGTCCACTCTCGACAAGGTCGATCAAGTGGTCACCTACCGGCCCACCGAGTGAAGCATATCCACTCGAGGCCCCCCAGGTCTACCTCCCTCAAGGCAGACGTCTACATCCTCACCAAGTCTTCCGAGGAGTGCAACCCGCCAGCCGACGGGTACACAAGGTGAGAGAAGGTCCATACACGGCATCGGGGTACCCCCTCCGACAGTCGTCAGTCCGGCACAGTGAGTGGTTTGGGGTCTCATCATACAATTTTAAGAACTCACTTCACCACATGAACAAAAGATGACCCTTCTCGTTGATTCGGGTGCATCACAGAATTTGTTAAACTCGCGGCTCCGAAAAAGTGTTCGGCGAGTTATGAGTCGCTTTTCCAGGATGGCAAGAGAGAAGAGGCGACCGTTCGTTTAGCGAACGGCGCGCTCGTTAAATCGGAGGGAGTTCAAGTCACTAAAGCTACAGTTGATTGAGATCTTCGACTCAAAATGAGAACTGATTTTTATTTTGCGTTAGAGATTTTATAAATAATCCTGCTTTAAGTACCCTACACTAGATCTATTACTATAATAGTAAGTATAGTATGCCATCGTCTGTATCTGGATATGAAATTTTCCAATTATCAGTGTATGTTGTACTTTTTTAGTACTACTGTATCAATCATGAGACTGATACCGATAGTATAAGGTATAACTAATACCTTATAATATCACTCATCTATAATACCCTTTTGTAAATGGATCGGTATTAAGAATGTATGATATGCAATATAGAAACTTCGAATGTGATCTACTTTCGGTTTGATGTTACAACCGTCTTGTAATCCCAATACACTATCCCATTCCAGACTGACGTTACACATAACGTCAATTGACACGTTGCCTCCCAGAGTTTTGCGAAGTGTACAAACATCGAACGGTTCTTCAAAGTACCACGCACATGACCACGCCTCGCATGTAGTCCGAGACTCTTAACACCTCCTTAGAGTAAATTCGTGAAGATATAATAGACTACGAGAGCGACAAAAACTTCATGGATGACAAAGAGGCTAAGAATAGATTTGCTGTTGTATATGGTGACTCTCTTCATGAATTGGACCCATATAAACTAACGTGGTGTCGCTGACACACTAACTAATATGAGCTTATCGCTTGGCGAAACGTCCACTTTTGCGAACACGAGTTCGCTCGACGAGCAAACGGCACAGCAGTTGCAAGCAAAAAAAGCTCTACACTCCAAGCAAATGTCACGGAAAAGCTCAAATAGCATCTAGACTATGTCTTTGAGCCATGATTCGAAGAAGAGCGTCTTAAAGATGCCACTGGGCATTCGCTGGACATGTTATCCATACGACCGGAGGCTACTACGCCCGAGGAACTCGCTGCGCGAGCGGCTCATCGCCAAAGTTACCTAGAGCCAGTTAAGATTACCCCAAGGCAATACAAGGCACACCTGATAGGCAAGCACCGGGTTCTTCCTTCCCTCCTATGAAATGAGCTCATATCTTACTAACTGCAGGTGATTTGAAGATGAAGACGATAGCGCCTTTGTCCACTGGGCACATTATGTGCGGCGTTTGAGTAGCATGTGGACTCTTCGCGCAAGTGCCAGTGTGGCAGACGTTCGTCTGTAACGGAAGATGCGTCAAAAATGCGCCAAGTTAAGGGCCCGAGGCCGATTGCGGAAATAACGAGTGCGCTATGCGCCAGATATTCGAAATATTAGTTCTTCGGCTACGACTGTATCCGTGATATTCACAACAGGCCCCATCCGTGAGCTCGCCCACTCCCATCGCTAATGGTGAGTAGCGCCATCACCAACAGGTTGGCCCTGCGCACGACGGTTACAAACGTACACGGCAAACGAGCAATTTAAGTTTTAATTCCCATGAGTTCCACGACCCAAGGTATCCCCACCACTTCACCTGATTTTAATATTGACCGTGATGTAACGGGCCACATTGCATATATAAAGAGAACGAAGCGGACGACGCGGTCAAACTGGGCTTCCCGCGCGTCATTAATGCGGTTGACTTGCCCTGCAAAGGGCTCCGCCCGTGCAGTGGTTAAGCACCGACCTGATGACTCAACGGTCACGGATTCGATACCCGCTCGTGCAAGACTTATCATACCCTTGGGATCCCGGTAATCGGAGAGCACTACCAACCTCTCCATGCGAAGTTAATCACCTCTCACAGTACATGTGCTCGGCAAGTGACATTCATCCCCGAAAAAAATGCAACCTTGTGAGTACAAATTCTACCGACCTCTCCTAAACAGAGGTTTCGCACGTGAATGCAGTGGTTGGACCGGGGTTCCCATCTGCACACATTGCGGTTGAGCGGGGGTCCCACAAGGGCAATGTGACGACGACTAAGAGCTCGCCAACGAGTGTGACGTGAACGGACAGGATTCCCCGCGTATAAGCATGATGGTCGAACCTATTTTTTCATTACCACCCACTGTGGTCGAAACGAGGTACCCAAATGGTCAATTTGTTGTTGAGCAGAAGCTCCCACACGAGTACAACGTGGACAGACAAAAATCCTAAGCAAGAACATTATATTCGAACCGGGGTTCCCACATAGGCAAAATGTGGTCGAGAAGGAACTCCTACACGGGTTGCGGCGGCCGAGCTGGAACT